GTTTTTTTTTTCCATGAATATGAAATTAAAGTTGAAAAATATTGTTTGGTTGAACATTTAAGCTAAAAGTTGAATTTAAGCGAGTAATTTCCTCTATGTTATGGAAAGTGGAACTTCTTATACAATGTGATTTTTGTTGGATTTGTCAATCGTGCAATAACACAACATTTCACTTCCTATATTTTAATTAAGTTTTACGTTTTCACAATTTTTCATGTCAAATTACTTATTATCTTTCAAATCCACACCAATTATTGTTGTTATTAAATCCCGATTTAAATCTTGGAATCATACGTTTTTACGATTCATATATGTCATATGATTCGATTTACGATTTACCCGATTTTACATATTTCTCTTAATTAGCAAAATTTTTACAAGTTTAAAATATGCCTGCATAGTTATTTATAAATACACAAACTATAAGATGCGGCTCAACAATTCGTACGGCGTTCCTAATAACTACCCCAAACTTCTTATCTTCCTCAATGTCCTGCATTTCATTCAAACACCATTTTCTTCTCTTCTTCCACTAACACCTCCCATGGCAGAAAAATCCATATACCAATAATCGCTCCCATCGGCGGCGTTATTATTAGAGGTGGTATTGTCGACGGCAAGAAACTCCTTGGGATCAAAGACGTCATCCAAGGCGGAAGAGAGAGAAGGTTTAATAGAATTGAAGAGGATGGAGAGGAGAGGGAAAATAAAGATTGTTGATTATATTTGTCCATGATTTATGCTTGAATTGGCTTGATAATTGCTTAAGATTATTGGATTTTCCGAAATATGCCAAAAAAAATCAAATTGGGGATTTCTTGAGTGATGTATAATTGTTGAAATTGATTGTCCCATGTGATTGTATGTTGAATTGTGAGCGTTTTGATAACAAATGCATGTATTTTGGTTAAGAAATGAGCAAGTTATGTTATATCCATGAGCTTAGTACGGAACCTTTAATGGAGGTTGCGCAATTGTTGACCTTTTAATTATTTTTATGTATATCAGCCAACAAAAGGAACATATCAACTAACAAATGAAACATATCAGCCAACAAATTAAAAGATATATATCAGCCAGTGGCGTCACCAGGATTTTCGAAGTGTGGGTTCGAAACTTCAGAAATTTGAAATCGTAATTAACGAAAGAAAAAAAATATAATAATTAAATATTCAGTACATAAATAAGTTCAAAATATGGATTACAAATAGATTACACATAGGAAAATGAAAAGAAAAAAAAAAAGACTACAGAAGCATTCTTTGAGTCTTCATACTTTGGAAGCGTTCCAATACATCATCATCACTTACTCTTGAAAATAAATCTCTCTCAAGAAAAGCGACTAAATTATCATTCAATAATTGATCAACCATACTATTTCGCAACTTATTTTTTTACGTATGTCATTGATGAAAACACTCGTTCCACGCTTGCAGTTGCAACCGGAAGGATCAATGCTAGTCTTATAAGCAAGTAAACTAAGTTGTAAGTAGTATGCTTAATTGTTTCAACAAGCATCATAGAAAGCTCATGAATACCCTACTATATCAAAAAGCTATTCAAAATTAATTTAGCATCACCAAATTAATAATAGAAGCAACCTACTATTACTTCTATTAGACCAGCATTAGTAATGAACAACAAAATTCAGCACAAATGACAAATCCCAAGAATAATCCAACATCCATAATCCATCCAATCCAACAAACAAACAAAAGATAACACCAAATTCAAACAAATTCCAAATCAAAGTTCATAAATTAGCTTAAAAAGTTAAAAGCCAAAACAAATTACCTTGAGGGCTTGAGAAAAATCAGCAAGGTAAAACATCGAAACAAAGAGAAACAACATCACTGAAAGTTGCATTTTCCACCATTTACAATATCAAAAAGCTATTCAAAATATCATAAAAAAAATCCCCAAATTGAGAAGTAAATTACATTAGCCAAAAATAAATCCCCAAATTCACTTACCTAGAGTCCTAGACGAGTAGACACGGGCACACGGATGTCGGGCTGTGACTGTGACTTGCTGAATTCCGCCAGTCCGCCACTGGGTTGAGTGGTTGTGGCCTGTGGGTCTGCTTCGCTTCGCAGCTTCGAGCCTTGGCTAGTACTCAGCCTGCATTTGCGCCGGTGGGTTGCAAGAAAAGGAGGACGAAAGAGAAGAGAGAGAGGAAGAACGGGAAGAGAAGGAGGAAGAGGTTAGGGTTTTTCAATTTGGGGGAATGAGGAAGATTGGAAGAGGAAAGGTTTCGTTCTTCAGTGTTATGGGTTTTGAACCCACAACACTTGTGTGATGGGAGCTGAAAATAACCACTGGGCTACAGCTTTACTTTTTGTCATAAATTACACAAATATTCTATTTAAACCTATTTTGAATTTTATTTTATTTTTTTTTAAATTTTTTTTTTTTAATTTTTTTCAAAAAATCAGTGGGTTCAATGAACCCACTTGAACCCATGCTAGTTCCGCCCCTGATATCAGCTAACAGATTGAACATATCAGCCAACAAATGAAGCATAACAGCCAACAAAAGGATGAAATCAGCAAACAAAAGCAACAGGTAAGCCAACAAAATAAACATATTAGCCAACTGTACATATCCTCCAACATATTATAAATATCTTCTATCAAATAACACATATCCTCCACCAAATTCTACTATCATATCCTCTAACAAATTGTACATATCCTCTATCAAAGATAAATTGTACATACCTCTATCAAATACTACATATCCTCTAACAAACTGTACATATCCTCCACCAAATACTACATCATATCCTCTAACAAACTGTACATATCCTCATAAATTGTACATATCCTCTATCAAATATTGCATATCCTCTAACAAATGGTACATATCCTCCAACAAATAACATATATTCTCCAACAAACTGTACGTATCCTCTATCAAATAACACATATCCTCCAACAAGTTGTACATATCCTCTATCAAATAATACATATCCTCCACTAAATACTACAGTACATATCATATATACTTGTCGCACAAATTATTTGGTGCGGCTTGCCGCACCCAATACCTTCTCTTATAAATATATATTGTCAATTATTGGTTGTTTAATTGGTAAACAACTATTTTATATTAATAATTAACTTTCAAACTCATAATTTAAATTTATTTATTTAATTTTGGATATGACATCTTGATTATGTGTCGGTACAATTTTACGATACGATTCTGAGAGCCCTTTCCATTTAAAATAGAATCCCGATTTTAATAACTTTGCATACGATACATACATACAATAAAAAATTATTGTATTTTGATAACGAGTTTTCATACATTTTATAGTTAAAAAATTATATCGAAGTATTTAAAAGGCATAAAGTCGACTTGTAACAAAATTAACTAGGCACATACTTAATACGGAGTAGTTAATACACAACAATTAGTTATGACAAACAAGTGAAACAAGAAAACAACTTTTACAAACCTAGCATGCTAAGTTGCTAACCATTAATTCCACTTAGCTACCTAGTCAGATTAATCAAGCGAGTAATCCAAAATGACCATAAATATTAGGCACAAAAAGTCAAGCATATGCTTAAGATATCAACTGGAATAATATTTACGTTGTCATGCATCCAATTTAGAATTTGTCATAAATGCATTCGATTACCATGTGATTTTATAGATGGTAGCTTAGTGCATTTTACATGGAGATTTCCTATGCTTACCGAATCCAAATCACATGGGCTATTTTTCATGTATCTTCAAATGGTAATTTCATTTATTTGAGCAAATTCAACTTGAATAATCCAACTAAACTATGTTTACCTCATCTTTATCAATTAGATTCATCTTAATGCATGTTTTTCATAATTATTACAAATACAAAATTAAATACAAGTAATAAACAAATGTGAATAAAAAAATTTGAGCTGGTCTAATCCTTTTTTATAATAAGATTTATAAATAATAATGATATGATGAATAGAATATATCGTAATATGCTCATTTATGTACCTTATTTCTACTTATTTTTATGTGTTATAAGTGTAAATAAGATTAGTTCATGAGTCATGACTAATAAATTAAAACAAGATCATTTTGATTTGATAATTTACATGAGATAAGCTCAATAGCTCGCCAAAGTTGGAGTGGTACAAAAGGAAGAGGTGCTCTATGCTAAACGATCTACCGCCTAAATTGTATAGTCTAATGAAGGAAGATATGCTTAGGGACTTGGGTTGACTAACGGACTATGCCATATTTTATTTCTCGTTTGACTTAATATAGTTTATTTTGTAATTTGGGTCGTCTTTCTTTTGCACAATAGGGTTTTTTTTTTTTTTTTTTTTTTTCATACAATTTGTAATCTTTCTAATAAATAAAAATATATTTTTAATGACTATAATACCTAGGGCTATACACAGTTTGGTCTGAACCATAACCAAACCGTATTTTAGCGGTTTGGTTTAATATACAATTTATAAAAATACCGCTTTACGGTTTGGTTTTTCAAAAATTATAAACCAACCAAACCAAACCGTAAACCAGTAAACCGTATTTTAATATTTATATAATTTTTAAATAAATTAAAATAATAATTATATATTAAATTGTTTTTAAAAAATAATAATAAAAACATTAAAAATCAAAATACAACGTTGGGTATATGTATAAAAATGTATTATGATGATAAAGTGATTGTTATTTTTATTATGTGCTAGCATTTGATTGTTATTTTATTGTAAATTTGTAATACAATTTAATCTGTTTGGGCTAATTATTTAGACGTTATTATAATTTAATAAAGTATTATTTGACAATTTTTTGAAAAATCGCAAACTAAACTGTATTTTGAAAAATTAACCAAATTGTTTTTTACGGTTTAATTTGATTTGATACTCAAATCGGCCAAATCAAACCGTATTCACCCCTAATAATACCCCTATACATTGCACTCCAAATTAACCCATAGACAGATAGACTCATAGAGACATTGTTTTGTTGAAAATAAAAAATGAAGATTATAAAATATTTAAATTAAGGGGATCTGGAAACCCCTCTTTCTCTCTCCTCATTTTTCTGTTGCACTACCCCGGGGTTTTTATTTTCGACAACAGAGGAGAAGAACCAGTCTTTTTTTACACAAAATCAAAAAATAAAAAACAAAACAAAAAAAATAAAAAACCCACTTCTTGCTTCGCTTTCTTTACAACAATCCTTCCTACCTGATTACAGACGAATCATTCGAGCGCCAAATCCAAGCTTTTCAATTTCCCTTTTATTTACTCAATTCAAACAAATCAGGTATTTTTCGCTGTTTAATTTCATATTTTTTTTACAATTTTTGAAACAGTTTTCGGCGGTTTGAATTCGAAATTGAATTGGTATTTTGGGTGCAATTTTTTAATCTTTTCGGGTTGAGATCATGAACTTGTTGAATTATTGTGAAATTTGTTGGATTTTCGACATTAATTAATTGGGGTGGTGTAGTTTTTTCGGGGAAGATTGTATTTTTATTCAAATTAGGGTTTACTCTAGAGAGTTGAAAGATTGCAATTTACTTTGTTATTTGGGCATAATTTGTGATTTGAGTGAGAATTTTATCACATAAGTATTTGATTAAGCTATGGATGAGTATTTTAGCAAACCCAAGTCGTAGTTGCAAAAATTAGGGTTTTTTTAGCTTGATTAGATTAATACTCTTGATTATTTGGCTTTTGCTTCCCCTGTTGGACATATAGCCGTACTTTATAAGTATAAGGGGGTATCACTGATACAATTCGTTGGCTGCTATTGCTGAGCCAACCATAATGTGTTGTTGAAGAGTGGGATTTTGCCAAGATTATATCAAGGGTATGCCGGTATGGTAGAAATTAATAGCAGAAGTTGATAATTAATTGAATCACTGCGTGTGTACTTCCTTAGCCAAAGTGAGCGAGGGTAGCGTGGTAATTGACCAGTTTGATGAAATTAGCTTGCCGTCTTATATTTTCGATTTTTCGTGGAGGGGATGTTTGAATTTCATGGTTGAGCTAGTTAAACTTAAAATGATAAATGAATTACAAGCCCATAATGCTTCAAATAAGAAACTGAAGATCATGTAGTACGTAGTTATGTGCAACATGGTCAACATCTGAATGCTATGTACAAGAGCAAGATTTCAAGTTAGATAAGTTTTAAATTAGTGAGGCATACAACTTACACAAGTTACATCTTTAAGGAGTATGATTGTCATAGATTTGAGGAAGTGGTGAAGGTGTCAGGTCTATACTTTGTAGATCAACTAAAAAAGCTTAGTACAATTCCTGGAGGATATTGTGTTAGGAGCAGTTTTTGTGCATGATTATTTTTGGATAATATGAAGGCACACGGACCAAGGTGCTTTGGTGGGTATATATTGAGAATGATGTATGAGTATGAGTATATCACACAAATTATACTGACATAATTAAGGATATTGCATTATTGCATAGGGGCATGAGATTAGATGAGAATAAGCACAAGCATAGGGACATGATAGTCGAAAGGATGTTATTTTTCCATTATGATTAGGAAGAATTTGCTCTAAGACTTTCCTATTAACATCAGTTTAAGACTAGTGGGCAAAGTCCATGCAAGATGATGTGCTTTGTAATGCTGAAGGAATTTGTTCATAGGCTTTCATCTTGGCAGTTCTATTATGTGGGACAGTTTGGGCTGTTAGGGGTGAACTGGAATTTTAACGGATTCCCTCACCTTAAAACGTATTTCAAATGAACTTTTGGAAAACTGTAGATGTGATTCAGTAATCAGTTCTACTGATAAGTTTAGTCGCACTATTTAACAAATTTAAGCAACTTAAAGAAATTCTGAGATAGGTTTAGTAAGGTCCAGTTATTAAGGATTGCATTTAGGTGGCAAGGAATATAATTTGTTTTTTGTGGTATGGTTCCTTCTTGACTTGTGGTGAACTGCTGGTATGATTCGTACGAGTAGCATATCCACGGACCAGGGTATCCAGTTGTTGATAGCCTATGATTTTTTTTCTGTTTTCTTTTTTAAAAAATATTGTTTTTAATGGCACCAGCCAACACTTCAGTCTTCAAGTACACAATAAAACTTTATAATATCCTACTGTTGTTGGTTACATCAGTATCTCAACTATACCTACCTGGCCTCTCATTTTCATTTTAACGTGTGAGTATAAATGTGCTATCCTCATAAATTTAGAAATATCCTTCATATTGGAGAATTTGTGACATGGATATGTCTAGAAGAACTTTTGGCTATAGGTAAGTTGGATGAAGGAATTGCAGAATTTAGCTCTTGATGGTTGTTAACTGCTGTAGTGTTCAAGTGTATATATATATATATTTCGTATGGAGACCGTGTTTGTTTCGAGCAGTTGGTCTTGTGTTTCTGTGTTTGATGCTCATTGAGCCTTGATGAACTTGGATGCAACCTTTTGTGCTGTTTGTGTTTAGGTTGTTGCTAAGATCCATACTTTTTAGTAAGAATCATAATTTGGGATCATGTAATATTTTTAGTAATCAGTAGTCCGCATGCAGTGAGTTTTAGGATATCCCTTTGAGTTAATTTGGTGTGCTTCCTTTACTGTCTAAGGAAATCCAATTGATATTGTTCCTTTGCCTGAGATATGCATAATCGTCTTCCCTGTGCATGCTAGTTTGATATGATACGTTAGTTTATATTATTCTATCTGCTGAATCTCGGTAAACTGAATTATATAGACTCGGGAGCAAGGTGCACCCTATGGTATTTGTTTGCTCATTTTAAAATCTTAATATGAAAAGGTTTGAAATGAGCAAAAATCTACCTTTGGGTGCTCTATATAAAAAGTGTTGAGGCATGGTTGTTGGTATCTTAGTTCTCTTGTATATGCAAATAGTAACGCTGGAAAATTAATTCAATCAAGTTTGTTCAGAAGTTGGGTCGTTTGTTTCCATTGGATTATTGTCCATGGTTTTTTCTTTCTATTTTTATTGTTTATTTTCCTTCTCCCTACTCAAATGAAATGGCCTTTAAAACATTTGCACTTGTAACATTTTTTGATTAATGGATGTTTTCTTACTACTAATTTTCTACCATTGTTCTGGCAGGTAGCTATTGGTGTTCAAGGCCTTTAAAGAAGTGAAGTTTGAGGCCATTCTCTCCACTGGGCACACATTTTACTTGCTTTTTTAAGGTGATTGATGCCAGATCTTGTGATGTTTGCTTGGGGTTTTTCTAATGCGCGATGTAAAATACATCTTAATTGTTCTGTAGGCGGTAAATATATAAAGGAATTCCAATATATGATCTTCAGTTTGTTTCAAAATTAGAGTTGCATGATTTAGATTCTTCGGAAAATATTACTCCTGAATATAATAATTGATACAATCTCCTTTTAGAATATATAACTTATATTACTCCTTTTTAAGAGTGTGTATGATCTTTCTCTCATTGCCCCTCATATCCATTGGCTGCCACATATTGATTTTACCCTTTTTTTCCCTTTTTAAACTAGTTGATGGCATGTTAATAAAGAGTGCATATTCATTGATATATAGGAAAATCGCTTTTCATTTCTTGTCTCGACTTCTCCGGCCATGGAGAGATTGTTATATACACCCGGGTGCACAGTGCACCCAAGGGTATTTGTTTGCTCATTTGATGATAAAATGAGCAATAATCATCGAAATGAGCAAACAATACCATTGGGTGCACCATGCACCTGGGAGTATATACCAATTTCTACCAGCCATGTGGGCCATTCTCAAAAATGGAAGGAAGTAGTGTTCTAATTTTGTATATTTTGTGTAGTCTATTAAATAACCGTGTGTTTTGATAGCAAGATAGGGGAAGGGAATTGTTGGGAGAAGTAGATTTGCATTTCCCTTTAAATCTTTCTAACTTTTGAAGGCTTCCATTTATTAAATACCCTTCCTCCAATTCATATTCAAACGAAGGAAAATAGATCCGTTATTCTGTCATCAGTCATCCTTTCTTTCTCTTCCAGTTTATTAATCCAAACACTTTTAAATTAATAGAATGCCCTCTTAGCTTGACGAGTGGAAGTGATTTATTGGTGTACTTGTAAACATGTATCTAATCATTTATGAAGTTTTTACTCTATCGTCAACTAGATGCGGTCCATTATTGGACTTTGTGTTAACATGTCAAAGCTCTAAATTATTTGAGCTATGCCTATATCTACCTAACTCTATTCATCATTTATTTGTAATATGACTTCCCTAGCTGATGATTTTGTATCAATGTAGAACAATTTATTTGTGATACTTTCAAAAAGAAGTATTTATATGAAATATCTTGATTTTTTATTGGTAATAATAATAAGCATAGGAAATTATGTATTGGTAATTTAGTAAAAGATAATGAGATTCATGTTACTCTCTTTGTCTTTAATTAAAAGATCCAAGGTTAAATTTGCATGTGTAATTCTCTCCTCGTCACATTTGACTGTTCAGTGTCCTTTCATGTCCTGTTATGAAGTGGTTGTCATAGTATCCTTTATTACTCTAAATTAATTAATGTACAATCTCACTAGATAGTGCTACTGTAGGTTCCATTTTTTACCATTCTTAATATTTGTATTTTTAAGTCTGACAATCGTATATGGAGGGAGAAACTTTACCTATCCTAGCTATGTTGTGATGAGAAATTGCATGGAACTAAATGTCTTTAAGACCAAATTGACTTTAATTTGGGGTAAAGTGAAACAGAAATGTTGACGTTGGACCTTTAACTGCAATGTGGGTTATAAATATAAGACAAATATCAGGTATTCTGTGGTCAAATAAGTGAATGTTATAATGCTATGAGCTTTTGAATGTACACCTGACAGAATCCGTCAAAAGTAGTAAAAGAAACACTTGCTTAGTTTTATGGCATTGACAAGGTTTTGCTCCCTCTTTATATGTAATATTGTTTAAGTTGAAAGTTCTCTGATAGTGCATAATATATTTTGTGTACAGTTTGGAGAGGATGGTCCACCGCTCTATGAGATGTTGATTAATGGATTCTGAAGGCAAGAAGTTTGGAAGAGGTAAATCATTAGATTGATCCGCATTTGTCTATCATTGTGGATTTCCTGCATACATTTATGCTTAATTAGTGTGTGTGCCACTCTAGATATCATGACCTTAACTTTTGCTAGCTGATGAAATTTTCATGTCTTTTTAATTGTGGAGTCTCTACCATGCCGTGACAATGCTACATGTTTATGCTAGTAATTGATGGGGCATCTTTTAAGCAATTCTGCCAAAAATCTGATAAAATATACTAAAGATGCTCCTAGACCCTCCACCCCTCCAGTGTATCTGTGTTAGTTCTGTATATCAGAGCCACTTTTTCTGTGATTGCAATGCCAAGTCTTTTGCAGGGATAATAATCATGATGCGTGAAAACCTGCTCTGTATTTTCTTCCTTATGTTTCTTGTTTCATTTATATTTTTGGTTTCAGGTCCGAGAGAACTTACTGGTGCTGTTGATCTGATTACTCATTACAAGTTGTTACCACATCACGAGTTCTTCTGCAAAAAGTCTCTTCCTGTGTCAATTGCCGATACCCACTACCTTCACAATGTGGTTGGGGATACAGAAATTAGGAAGGGAGAAGGAATGCAGTTGGATCAGCTAATACAAAATCCATCATATTCGCTGGATGGAAATACACGGATACGGCCCTTTGATTTAAATGCTCTAAGTGAAGCCTTTCATCTGAGGGAAACAACCCCTGTTGAGTTACCATCTGTGAGTAATGTTTTTCTTTCACATCCACTCCTTGAACCTAGCAAAAGCAGTGCTAGATTATATGGCTTAATGCCCCTTGGTTTTCCAAATATTTTCAGATAACATTGTTTTCCGCCATTTTTGATATGTTAACTTTATCAAGAACTCAAGAAGCTTGGGTATTGTTTCTGCTCATATAAGTGATATAATGACGTTAATGAAGCCTTCTTTCTGGAAAACACAGAGAGCTGAGATTGTTATATACTTCTTCTGTTCCCCTAATATTGCAACAATTATCATTTTAAGAAGTTTCACAAATAATCAAATATTGCAAAATTTCCCTATTTGTACATGTTTTCTCCCTTTCCCTCTCCTCATCACATGTGTCCCTATCTTTATTCCTCTTTATCTCTCTCCTCATCATAAAATCTGTGTCCAATCTCCATGTGCAATATTAGGGGAACGGAGAGTATTATTTCTCAGTGGTTAGTGACTTAGTGTGAGTTTGAACCTACAAACAACTTTTTTTGTGGCTCCCTTTGTGGAAATTAATACTAGAGTTGATAAAATTCATACTCAACTTTTTCTGTTTTTTCAATTACATCTTTGCATTCTTTTAATTATCGAATCTCATATATTCTGTAGGAAGAAAAGGGGGTCCCTACAATTGCAGGAAAATCAAAAGGTGAGTCAAAAGACAAGGATAGAAAGCACAAAAAACACAAGGACGGGGACAAAGAGAAGGATAAAGAGCGTAAGAAGCACAAACACCGCCATAAAGACCGAAGTAAAGACAAGGACAAGAAGAAGGATAAAAGTGGGCATCAGGATGCTGGTGGTGAACATTCCAAGAAACACCATGATAAGGTTTGTATATGCTTATCTATTCTGAATGGGCAGTTGAGAAACAATATTGCCTTTTTTGAGAATAGGCTTGCCACTGTCTGATGTAGATCTCTAAGGATTTCCTGTTGAAATTGTATATTTTTGTTGAGGTTTATCTGGAAAATTTTCATGCTATGTTTGGTTTATTTGGTGATTTATATTCTTTTGCTGGCCACCTTGCTTCTACACTAACAATGTAGCATTTCAAGAATATACTTTCCGTTCTTTAATAATTGCAACAGTTGGAGTTTAACACTTGTCAATGCACAACTTTGTCCATTAATAGCTATAGTACGTAGTATGCTATTAACAAAATTTATACAGTATATCATAATTTTTGAAATTATACATTGGGACTAATCCTACAATATCTTAATTTGTAAGTGTTCAAAAATTTATAGTCACTTCCTTTGTTCCTAAACAGTCTACAAAACTGACCATTGGCCATTAATGTACGGTCAAAATATTTAGGAATCTGTCTTCTTTTGGAAATGGAGTGAAGTTTATTTGGGGACCAAGAGTACTATATCGGTTGATCTGGAGGAAATTAATTTCTTCAGTTTCAGGAACCTGTCTTCTTTGGGAATAAATGAATCATGATTTCCACTTGTGCACTTTTCTTAGACGGGTCATGTTAGCTGACCCCAAATCCTTTTGAGATTAAAGGTGTTGTTGTAGGTGTTGTTGCTGTTGTTAATTTGTAGTTTATTCTAACTATATATATTCTTACCTTTGCAGAAGAGGAAGCATGATGGTGATGAAGATGTTAATGACATTCATAGACATAAAAAGAGTAAGGTAATAATCATTGTGCTGATTCAATTCCTGTACACCTGGATCCGGTTTCTTTTGTTTGGGGTTCCGAATCCACAACCTTCTCCTGTACTTATGAGCATGCCCGTGTATTGAGCCTATTGCTTTTTTTGACTGGACTGTCTCAGCATAGGAGCTCAAAAATAGATGAAATGGGTGCAATAAAGGTTGCCGGGTGAGATGTTTGCTGGTAGTTGTGTTGATTTATCGTTCTCAATGTTGGGGAATTTCAAGGAGTTGATTACTTCCGTGCAATCAATTGAGGTATCTTCTTGTATTCAACTTGTATAATGTATGCTGTGTAATTTGTGTTACGATTTTGAGTTATCTGGAAGCTTGATTTCTGAAATGATTTAGGTGTATGTTTCAAAATCTTTTTTGTCTCGAGTGTCAGCTGTGTTGGACTATCTATTGACTCTTGCACATTGAAATGGAATATAAATATTTGATTGTTGTATTTTTGGAATAATGATGTGCGGATGCATGGTATGTTATTATATGGCTCCTATCGTGTTATAAAATCTTATTGCCTTGTGAAGTTGACATTGTGTCGTAATTTTTTGTCATGTAACTTTTTTTCCCAGTTGGCTTTTGCACCATTTCTTTTGACTGTTAGAATGATTCTTTGGTGGTACTGAAATGTGTTGAGGTTGTGTCACCTATTGATAAATATGACTTTAGTCCTGCTATATTAACTTTAGTTGCCTCTATTGTATTTTTGGCTCATAGACATCTACGGAACCTGAGCAGCTTCTCTGTTGTGCCATGATATATTTTTTCTGTAATTTAATGTTGCTGCCTGCAAAATATAATACCTCTTATTGTTTGATTGCAGAATACTTAATGAGTTGAGGATTGTGTGGAAGGCAAACTCTTTGTGGCATGGTTGGAGGTACAGATTGCTGGTGGTGAATTTTCATGTATCGTTTAGAGGTCCCTTAATTTTATTGCTAGTAACCTCTATCAAATTCTGATCATTTTGTTTTCAGTTTATATGGCGCATTTGAAATTCCCAACTCTTGTCCATTATGATAATTTTTTTCTTTCTAGAGGTCCAAATCTGAGCACTCTCTTACCAATCTGGGTGACTGAGTTAGAAATTACAGCTGGGTATGTAGATTAGAAGGTTAGGATTGGGTGAAGGTGCTAATGTATTCCTCGTTTAATTATTTTTACTTCTAGGATTTTCAATTTGTCCAGACGGGTAGGTAGATTGTAAGGGTAGGCTTGCGTGTACCCTAACTAATGTCTCAATGGTGAAATATTCTTTGTAAATTATATCCATATGGGAGTACGGTCCATTGAAGTAATGAGATTGTTTGTAGAAGCCACTGCCTTGTGTAGGTGACTGATGAGCGATACCATTTGGTCCTCTTCCATAGAGCCTGCTGTAATATGTGAAAACTCTTCTGTATTTTTTTTAAGCAAGTGATAGATTAATGAAAACAGTTTTGCATCTTTGGTTCCAGAGTCTTGAATGTCTTGCAGATTTTGAATCCAAAGAGGGTGGACATAATCTTTTGCATTGTTGCCTTGATGTCTAGTTGAACAGGGCTGTATTTTTGAAGCTGGCAGATCTAATTATACAGCATTTGAACCTTTTGACCTACATGTTCGTTCAATACAGAGACATGGGTGATTGAGTTCATGTTCATCGATGATGCATGCATATTATCAAATACTTGATTTTCTTCATTGGCCCTAATTATCACTACTTAGTACTTACCATATACCATGTGGTAACCATTGATAACAACCAATAGATGTATTACGTAGAATATGTCTATGGGACATATGATCTCCAATATCATCTATGTAACATTACAGACAATTCTGTTGCCATGTAGTCACTCCCTCCAATTCATGACCTTGTATCAGACAAGCCTTTAATATATGAAATTCAGCTGTAATGTTCGGTTACCCACAGCGTCTGGCTGGCACCTTTTCGACTCAAGCCTATGGTACAGCCTTCTTTTGGGGAAACCTGACACATCTGTGTAAGACCTTTCTGTCACTTGTTACAATATGACCCAAACTGGAAGTAGGAGAAACTGTTTACCAAAGCTTTGTTGAAACTTTTGAATCACGGTATAGGTTGAAGCCTGAAGGTAGTTTTTACTGTTGTACCTTTGGGTATTTAAAAAAACAGCAACCACAAGATCAGAAAATGTCCTTCATTTTGCGGTCCATATAGGTGTATATTTGCTTCTTTCCAGTTTAGGATGTCCCAATAATTTCAATTTTACTCAATAGTCTGTAAACAGCATCCGAATCAAACTGTACTATTCGAGTACTCGTACGTCTTCTACTTGTTCCATTTCTGGCAACAAAGAGGTTCATAATATTTTGCCATTTTGTTGGTAGTAGTACATTGTCTTGATGAAAATGATCATGTTGTATACCCAGATTTAAAGAAGATGAAATCCACAGTACATTTTGTTTGTGTTGCACTCTTTTAGAGTTTTAGTAGGTTTAATTCTAGGTCAATATCTGTTTTGCATGTGAAATGTCAAATGAAAGGGACTTTTCTTAGTTTGGGCCATATTAATTGTTGTGTGATGGGAACTTATGCAATGCTTTATAACTTCAATTTAAGTTTATGTAGACAAAATTTGTTGGTTAATGCCTCAATTTGGTTCAATAATTTATGAGCCTGATTTGACCCTTTCAGGCCTATATAGGGTGCATGTTCTTATTATACTTTTTTTTTGTTTTTCTTCTTGTTAAATGATTCAGTTGTTTATTAGCTCTTTAAAATTATTATTATTCCGCACTTGCCTCCCAAAAATATTTGTCACATAGTTTTAACCCCTCACAATTTCACCGTGACTTCAACAATAGTATTGTTTATTTATATGATAGTTGACTTGTTTAAATAAAAAATATTCCTATGACTACATTTCATGAGGGAATTTTCACATAAAAAATATTCCTATGACTTGTCTTACACTCTTAATGCAAAGAATTTTCACATAAAATTTGTGTAGGAACCATATTAGTGGTCATTTGGTTGAAAAGAAAACGTTATACTCCATATATATTAGACCACGCAGGAAACTTTTTCAATTTTGGTGGAATGTATGCCAAATCTCTCTTCAATCTCACATTTTTAGAAGTGCAACTTTTTTTCAATTAATCTAGTTGTCACTTTAAGAACTTCCATACCAACAATTAACAGTTATGCCTTATAAGAGCAGTCCTCAATAACATTGTATTGTTGATGATGTTGTTCATATAAATATTGAAGACCTTGTTTTGGTGTATAAGTAGTGAAGAAGCCACTATAGACTACAAAGCCCATTAAAGCCACTATATCAACTTTTGTAAAGCTTCCAAATTTTAGATGTATTTTATCTTTGTAAAATAAATTATGCAAATGACATTAGCATTGTTATATTTTTGTATATTTTTTTTATTCAATTATGAGGGGCACTACATGGAAGCTGAAACATGTTGACAACAAGAGATAATATAAACTTTTGTCTAATTACAAAGTGCAATTGAAAGGGACTGTTTTTCAGCTCATTGTTATTGCTGATATCAGGAAAATCTTTGACACGAAGTATTTTTTTTTGCACCTTTGAAACTTTTTTTTTTTTGGTGGTCCTATAAATAAAAGCTTATCTGAAAAAATCCCTATAAAATTGTTCTTTTGCCAATGAATGAATCTTGCTTAGATTATTGTTTTATTATTAGTAAAAAAAAAGGGGGGGGGGGGGATCATTTGATGATTAAGGTATAAATGGCTAAATGGCCTATAGATTTAAGGGAAGACATAAGAGAATTGACTCTAACATCTTAACTAAGGGCCATCGATTGGGCTTTAAAGACTAGAAAAGCCATATAAATAGTTAGTTTACGAAATCAATTGCGTATGTTTATTTCTTCTTACCTTTTTTTAAAAAAAAAAATAAAAAAATAATATGACCTAGAAAAAAGTACTGTTTAACTCGTATAAAATTATCTTAATTATATTGTTAGAGTTTCACCTCATTAACCTCAAGGGCCAAGGCCATGGATTCTATTTCTACTATCTACACTTCTTGAGGGTGAGAGTTTCCTTATCCCTAACTTGCGTAACTAGCTAGCTTGATAGAGTCGTTCTCTGTACCCACCTTTTAGTCCTTCGTTATAGTTACCGTATAATCATGTACTAGCCACCTTCAAGTGAAATGGTTTGATGTGTAATAGATACTGTTTGAAGGTTGCAATCACATACAGAAATAGTACTAACAATTTATAAAATCATTGGGTCATCTTTCATCTTAAGATACATACAAAAGCTTCAAACGTGATATGTAAGTGTAACTGTCACTTTCCAATTTATCATAATAATTGGCCTTCTTTTTCCTACTTTACGAGTTCCATAATTTTTGTATTTCCTTTTTTTGAGGGAAGAAATTCATTTAAGGTCAATTTGTCAATATATGCCATGAGACCGTCCAACCACAAGATCAATGAATCTACTACTATTCTTATTAATTGTTATCTTTATATATCTAAGTTTTGGTGCTTATTTTTGTCGGCATGATATGAAATGGCGGGTCTTACTTGTACCTTGCATGCATTCTTTGTGCGAATATTCAGATTAGTTTTCACAACAATAATAATAATAATAATAATAATAATCCGATATATATATATATATCTATTTATCAGATCATAAATAAGTTAGTGTGAACGTAGTTTGTTAAAGTATATATTGCCCGGATTTCTATTCATATAATAAATCATCTTTTAAAAACACACGACGGGAGTCACTAAGCTAAGTACTAGTTCATGTATGTGAAATTTGATGATCATATGTTAACGACGATGTATTTATTTATTTATCCATCCACCATATCGGGCTGTTGATCGAAGTCTTTGTACAAGCCACAGGTGTTCCAAAAGAGCCCTTAATTTGTTGCCACTGGAAATGACTTCAAAAATAAGCACGTTATCAATAAACCTTTGCTATTATATTTTTCTCCAACTCAAGATTCGCACCAGATATGTATAATTGCCCAAAATATAAAAGAAATAGTAAATTAAATACTAAAGCTAATGTGCTTTAAAAATAAAAATAAAAAATAAAAAATAAAAAAGCTAATAAGTAATAACTCAAACACAGAAATATAATGCATAATACAACGGTCATGCACAAATATGTAACACTTTTTTAAAAGATAAGATTGCATAATAATAAAGCAACGAAATTGGACCAATTTTAATATTCTTATTAAAAGACTAAACACAAGGTTTCATTTGTTTTTTTTTTTACCTAAAGATGATCTAAAAGGACTGCTTTTACAGTTGCAAGTTTCCTGCACATAATCATTTCATAGATTGGCTTACTAATTACTACAATCTTACTGTTACCGTTTCATTATTATCGATAGATTTTATGTGATCATCCTCTTGAATTACTGGATGGAGATAATATACATTACTCTCTCGTCTAAAAGTTTTTCATGTTTTGACTTTTTTTTTTTTTTCTTGTAATAAGATAATTGTCATTCATACGAGAAGAATTTTGTAGAAAAGAATGAAGCAACAAGTTTATATATTTAGGCCTTGTTCTGTTCACTTTATACTCACTTATTGCAGGTCTCATAAATTCAAATAAATTTAGATAATAAATTTAGAAAAAATATGTTCAGATGAGAGTCGCTCAAATTCAAATTACAACTTAAATAAGGTTTAATAATGTCTAATAAATTTAGATAACTTAGACAATTTAAGTATGTTCATTTTAGTACAGATAACATCAGATAAATAATTTAAATAAAAAATAAGTGAAAATCAAGTGAATAAAACACAATCTTATTTATTTATATTTAATGGTTTGCCACTCAATTACTTTCATTGACTTTATTATTAGGAATATTTTTGGGTGTATGGGGTGCTAGTGGATGGAAAAGTTTAATTTGATTACTAATATGCATGATACATTATTATTATTGGAAAACTACATTCCATAAGATGATTGATTTATTTACTTGTGTTTTAGACTTTTTCATATGTGGTATAAAGTTTTGTGAAAATCCTTCATGTCCTTTATTTAATCGAATGTCAAAGTAGTACTCGTATTATTATTATGTAACCTTTTTCAGCAATTAATATTTGTTCGTTTAATCTGATAGATTTTACACAAATTCTCTCTTAACATCTCTCTCTCCTATACATTGTAGACACCAATACACCATAACATTGATCTCGAAATTGCTCTAAAATTTTTGATGATGAGAGATTTAATGATAAACTGAATTGATCAACTATTATTAAAAAAAAAAAATATCAGAATGATACAAATAAACCAGATACAATAATGGCTGATTAATTGCCTTTAACTATCATGATTCATGATACAATAAGGAATAAAGCAAATACAAGTACGAGTAATTATAATTGTTTAATACATAGCCTAGACTGGTATAAATTTATAATTGCATGATAAGGTGTTAAAGTGATCGATTTAAAAAAAGCAATAATTTTTGTTTTCATAAATTTTGTCATAAGAGTGGTATATATCATAATACGAAGTACACGTCTAAGCGTAAGCTTCTATGTTCAGCAAAATGGTACGCTATCAATTTGTAGAATGAATTGCGAGTTGATAAGTTGATGTAATTACTTCACCTTCAAGATTTAACCAAAAAAATATATACTTGTCTCTCTCAAAAATCATGATTGACAATGATCTAATAATGTGTATAGTGGAGAGTTTATGATGTCTAAATTGTAACAGTATAACATAAATTAAAATGATGATCAATAAATGCCATCCAGGCAAAAACATCCTTAGATTGGCATCACAAGCAAAGCAAGAATCATAATGGCCCATCATTATTTATCGGTTTAAACTAATCATATTTTCTGTTAAGTTGGGTCAATCACCTTTTTCTTCTTAATAATTATTTATTTTATTCATGAGACATACATACGTGCCCTTTGTTTATTTTAACATTACTTCTCATGCTTCAAAGTGAATCTTGTAGTATAATTGTGTACTAAATTCAGTGAATTATTGCGTACTAAGGGTATGCCATTTAGCATAAGCATAATTTGTGTTCGAGGTCGATTTACAACAATTATTTCTGTTATGTTTGTACGATCATGATTATTTCTACGAGTAGTCGTAAATAATGTATCATGATAAGTTACTCCTGTTGTATTGCATCAAATTTATTGATAAGATTAATTTTTAATTTATTATCATCAACGTTGTACTTTTATACAAAAACTAATGATAGATATGATTCGTGTTTGTTGATTTTATATATCGGGTTAAAATCCCACACAGATTAATCCAACTCAAATTTACTAGATAGCTCATGATTCAGTCCTTGTGCCTATCTCAACTAGTTTAAATGTCACATATGCCTCAATCACCTGCGCTTCATCACCAATAGATAATAGTACGTGCCGGTCATGCCCTCTAGCTAGCTTTGAGATTCAAACGTATGCTAGCTAGTGTTGCTTTGTGCTCACAAGCCATATTTTTGCACAAGACTTGCAGTCTTCTCGATAGATATACAAAAGCGCACCACATAATCCAATATTAATACACTTGTAACATAGATTTTGTAATACGAGTACTCCATAAGACCATCTCCAATGGTGAGATTTGATGGAGTTTTTTTAGGAGAGAGAGAGTATTTTTTGCAAAGGATACAAATAAGTTAAACTTAGCAACTTTTGCTAAGTTTAGATACTCAACTTTGAGTCTCATTTGACAAAAAGTGTGGGCCCTTTATCAATATTATAATATATTATGTAATTTATTTAAGTTTCAGTGTTTTTTTTTTTTTTTTTTTTGAAAAACTTATCATATGGATTTGGTGGGTCGTAAATTAAAAGTGACATTAGTATATTTTAGAGAGTCTTATCATTGAATAATTAGATTTCACATGAATTGCTAAATTGAGAAGTAGGTTGGGTAATACCATTAGAGGTAAAATAACAACTCATTTTGTATTTTAATATTCAAAGTTAAGTTTTACCAATGAAGATGATCTAATAAGATAATGGGATCTCCACTTGTTACAGTAACCTTTAGCGGCAATTCTTTTTGTTAATTAGGGTACTCAAAACTCATGTCCCAATATATACTATAGTATGGTACTAAATACTAATAAGACTGATATACTCCAGATCCCAAGTACCAAGACATTGAAACACCATAATAGCAATAAGCAATAAGTAATACCGTACGAATCCAAAGACTCCTGTTGGTCTTTGAATTAAATTTTTTGCCAGTAAACTTTTTACTACGTATACCTCGGTTAACTTCATGGAAATTTTTACTACTTCTATACTTGTGTCGGTGGAAAATGGAAATATGCTCTACCTCGATCTTTTGTTCACCGCATTCATCTCACATTTATTTCCTTTTTTCTTTGCTTTCTTTCTTCCCAGCAACTTATTTAACTTTTATTGTATTATTAGAATAAATATTGCTAATTAGAGGTCATAATTAAGTTAGGTTGGTTTAGCATGCCTCCTTAAGGGCAAATTTTGCACTGGGCCCCTGCTCGAATACTAATTTTTGGTTATTAGATATAAAATCATATATTATTAATTGTTTTGGCATAATAGTTGAGTTGAATGCTATTGTTTTTTTTTAATAAAAAGATATGATGGAACTTGAATTTGAGGTTTTGTTCAAAGATGAGTTAAACTTCAAATGAACAATACCTTAAAATAACAATATTAGTGAATTGATTGAATGAGATATTAATGTATGTTGAGATATGTTGTAGTTAGATTTTAAGAAAAATGAAATACTCTATTAATCTTCTTAATCTACATCTACTTATTGGGTTTAGTTGGTTAGCTAGCTAGTCCTATTAGTAGAGTTGTAGAGGTTATTATTTTGGTCCATGATTAAGAGGGTGTCCTCCAATAATTATGATAGAATTTATTAATCTAATAAATAGTTTAAGAAAGTGATGTTCATAACTTAAACTCTCCTATACATGCTAATAAAAATGAAAATCACAAGATCTCCTCACCAAGGAATCGTAAGTTTACAATCAAACTATTAACCTACACTCCTACTCTATGTTATATGGACTCGGAACGGGTATCGGACACGAACACATGTCCAAGTGTTCGATCTGACAAGTTCGAAAATTTTAGGACACGAGGACTCTGTCCAATATTTGGACAAGGGTACGGGAACACGTCAATACGCCACTTTAATTATATAAATAAATTATATATTACAAAAGCTTTAAATTTTTCATTATGTCTACTTCTATTTTTTTTTTATTAAAATACTTTCCTTGGTAATTCTCCTAATAAATGACAATCTTCTTCTCTATATTAATGGTGGTTTTCGAACAAGATATGTTTTTCTTTCATGTTTCTTCTCTTTTTTCCTCTCCTCTCTTAATGAAAGTGTTCGAGTGCACAGTAAAGGATCAGACACGTGTTCCATGTCCGTGAAGTGTCATGTCGGCACGGAGACTTCGCGATATTAGCCGTGTCCGATTAACATAGCTCCTACCAATACCTAGCTTAGTTTGTATGCAATGCCATTCTACTATGTGATCTCGTGTATCATAATTTTTTTCTTGCTTAAATGTAATTAAGAACAAATGACATATTCCATAGACAATAATTGTAAACATTGTATAATTTGTATATATCAATCTAGTATGCGATAATTTGATTTATGGATTAGTAATAGTTATCCTTGTAAACACTAAACAGTAATGTCAAAATAATAGTACTATGTATTGTGAATGTTCAAACTAAAAGTTTTGTCTCATTAATCTTTATATTCTTCGCACTTGAATTTTTCTACTCATTTGAATTATAAACCAAGTTACAAGTTTGATTTGACCTAACATAGAACTAGAGTCTTGAGAGATTTATCAAGAATTCCTACATGAACGATAAATAACATAATTTTTTGGTGTATTAAGTATGTGTATATCTTCACATATATATATATATATATATATATATATATATATATATATATATATATATATATATATGCTACAAGTATATAAAATAGGGAAAATTGTAAATAATAATCCCAACTTTGCCGTATTTTTTTTAATAATCTGAACTTTGAATTATTTCGGAATAATTCGAACTTTAGGGGTTGTTTACTTTCTTCAATCTCATATACCGGTTACCGGTTGAATGGGTTATTTTCTTTTATTTTTTTTTAAAGTGACACATGTCATAAGTTAATTGGTTAAAAAAAACCAAAATTAAATCTATAACCAAATTTTAATTTTAAAATAAAAATTATTTATAAAAAACATTTTTTTTTATAAACAAGGGTAGACTGACTGCTCCCAACCACCGTCGTTGCAGCAACCAGGCACGCAGCCTGCCGCAGCTGCCAGACCGAAGCCCAACCACTACTACAGCGCCGGCCGACGCAACCAGGTAGCAAGCCCAATCACGCCAGCCAGCAGGCTAGCACCGGCCGACGCATCAAGGCAGCAAGCCCGATCACCACAGCTAGCGGCCGGCAATACTTGAACGCTCCAGCTACCACCACCACTCGAAACTCCCTTAAAAACACTTCCTCCACTCCTGAAAAACCACAAACACTCCTCCCCCACCATTGAAAACCTTAGGCGCTAGGGTTTCGGGGTGGGGGAGGAGTGTTTAGGGTTTTTCGAGAGTGGGAAAGGGGTTTCTGTGTGGTTGTGCGGGGGGGTGGGGGGAGGGTATTTCGGGGAAGGGGAAAAACGGCGAGGGAAGGACGGCGGTCCGGCGAGGGAAAGGCAGCGGGTTAGGCAGTGGTGGTGTAGGTTAGGGTGGGCCGGTGGGGGAAGGGAGGTTGGCTGGGTTTTTCTGATTTTTTGGTTTTTTTTTTATTTTAATTTTTGGACCAATCAGGACTTGACACGTGTCAAGTGACTTGATATAATAGGTCATTGACTTTTGTTGACCGGTTTGGGATAGAAGAAAGTAAACAACCCCCAAAGTTGGGATTATTAAAAGAAAATACGACAAAGTTGGGATTAATATTTAGAGTTTTTCCTATAAAATAATGACCATTCACCTCAAGTATCTGCATCAAATACTAAATAACTAAATGTAATTTGACAATGAAACACTTCATTTTGCACCAAAACATGCTGAGTTTTTAGATTGATCTTATATGACCCTTGAGCACAATTATGTGACCATGTCTTACATATTTAGTCAAATCCAAATAACATAACAATGTAACAATCTCTCTAATGCATAAAAGTGGCTAAAAGTAAAAACTATTATAAACCGAAAGTATACCATTAATATATATATGAAAGCAATGATAATAGGGAGTAATTTTACATGGAGAATATGATTAACTCGAACCAACTCAACTCAACCCTCAACTCCTCAAGTCCTCAACTCAGAGCAAGAGGTGAGAGTGTGAAAAGGTACTGAATGAAAGTGAAAAAACAAAAAAGCAACAAAAAAACAAAGAGAAAAAAAAAAAAAAAAAAAAAAACCCAACAACAACAAGGCAAAAACATTACACTCCCCAAATTTGACTCCAATTTCTCTTCAACCTCCTCATTAACCCAAAAAACAGCATAATATTAGCTGGAACTTCTCAAAACAATACCAACACACAATTTCATTTCCAACCATCTCCATTTTCTCCAACTTCATCTTCATTAACTCACTTACTCACCTTCACCTTCCTTTTAGAGAGAGAAAGCTAAACTCAACTGAATGTGTTGAGAAGAAAGTGAAGAGAGAGAAAAATCAACAATGCCCACCATTTTCTCTCTCCTCTTCTTCCTTCTACTCTTCTTATCCAACGGTTCTAATCTCTCTTACAGTTCTCCTACACTCCATCTCAACCGTAGGATCCTTCACCAGCCATTTTTCCCTCTTGATTCTTCCCCTGCACCTTCTCAATCACCTCCTACGCCTTCTCCGCCGCCCTCAGATTCCTCCCCTGATCAACCCTTCTTCCCAACTTACCCTTCTCCGCCGCCTCCGCCGTCGTCAACCACCACTCCGGCGTCCCCTTTTGCTTCCTTCCCTGCTAACATCTCCTCTCTTACCCTCCCTCATTCTCCTTCCTCTAAGCCTGTTTCTAAGAAGCTCATTGGTGTTACTGTCGCGCTATCGCTCTCGGCTGTTATCATTGCCGCGGTTGCTCTGTTCTTTTACTTTCGGGGAAGAAGCCGCCGTCGCGGGGAGTGTTTTGATAATGATAAGGCGACGTCTAGATCGGAGACTACAAACGGGGGCGGGTCGTTTAATAGTAATGCTGCTCTTCCCCCTCGCCCTCCCAAGCTGAGGAATCCTTCTAGTAATAGCTCGGAGTTCCTCTACTTGGGAACTTTGGTTGATTCCACTACTATTAATGGTAGTGGTGGAGGAGGAAGAGCAGCTAATTCGGGTGGAGCTCGGAGGGGTGTCGGCCCGAGAAAACTCGACTCCCCCGAGCTCCACCCTCTGCCTCCCCTTAGCGGGCGACACCAAAATCTCAGTGGACAGCAGCAGCAAAATCTCAGTGGACAGCAGCAGCAACCGCATCAATCAGAACATCAGTACCATCATCAACAACAACATTTCTATCATCAACAACAACAACAGCAGCAGACTCAACAAACACAACACAACCATGAAAGAGAAAGAGAAAGAGAGAAAGTTGAAGAAGATCAAGAGGAGTTTTACTCACCAAGAGGTTCAGTGAGTGGGAGAGAGAGTGGATCAGATTCTAGAAGAGTGTTTGCAGCTGTTGTTCAAGCTCAAGCGCTCAACAATGGCGGAGGAGCTAACTCTGAAGATACTTCCTCGTCATCATCGTCTTCGTCGAGCAGTGGTTCTCCAGCTCGATCAGCATCGATCAGTATCTCTCCTGGAGTGAGCGCGAGTCCGAAGGACAGGTCCACAAACCCTAAATCTTCACCAGAGTTTATCACAATGCAAATTCAACCTTCTGCGACGGTGTCATCGCCGCCATTGCCGGAGATGACATTCTCACCGCCGTGTTCTCTCACATCTTCGCCGGAAAGAGAGATGAAGCCAATCAAGGAGGAAGAGGAAGCAGAGGAATCGCCATTGTTGTCGAACAATTCGAGCTCAAGTAGAATGAATTCACCTCCAGAATCGCCGAGATTATCGCCGTTGAACGGAAAAATTGGGATAATGTCGCCGGAGGAGAGAGAATGGGGCGTATTAGGTCGAAAACCACGTTCTCCGGCACCGACATCGCCGGCGTTGTCAGATTCTTCAAGCACTCGGAGTCGAAAATCGCCGCTTTCTTCATTGAAACTACCGGCGTTTTTAGGCGGAGGAAAGAGAAAGGAATCACCAGAATCAACTACAATGTCGAATTCTCCAATCTCACCTCACTCACCTCCTTCGCCGATCTCTCCGATCTCATCATCTGCTTCATCGTCACAATCCTCAAGATCTTACTGCGCTTCGCCGTTGTCGAATCACTCGAGTGCATCAGCTCGATACTCGTCGAAATCACCAGATGTTTGTAAGCTGAACAATTCATCGCCTGTTAGGGTTAGCAGCGGTGTTGCACCACCTGCACCACCACCGCCGCCTCCGCCACCTCCTCCACCAACGAGGAGGTCTCAGAGTCCACCGCCACCACCTCCGCTACCGCCTGTGAGTGAACCGTCTGTATCGGTTTCGACTCCACCACCTAGACCAGTGGCAGTTGAGAAGCGAGCGGGTGAATTCTCGGTGGAAGGTTCTGGAAGTGAGGAAACCACGCCGAGGCCGAAGTTGAAGCCATTGCATTGGGATAAAGTTAGGGCGAGTTCAGATAGGGAAATGGTGTGGGATCAAATGAGATCAAGCTCGTTCAAGTAAATTTTCCGTTGCATTTGTTTATAGAATGATTAGTTGATAACTTAACATTATAATTTTGTTAAGTTTGCTGTTTATATATTAATTATATTGGTGATGATGTAATTGGTGTTTTTGTGTGTGCAGATTGAATGAAGAAATGATCGAGACGTTGTTCGTAGTAAAAACTCCTAATTCGAATCAGAAGGAAATGCCGGGAAAGCATGTTCAACCTTCATCGGCGCAAGAGAATAGGGTACTTGATCCAAAGAAAGCTCAGAATATTGCCATTTTGTTAAGGGCGCTCCATGTGACAATGGAGGAAGTTTGTGAAGCTCTTTTGGAAGGTATATTATCCTTAATTACTTGCATTAGATTGATAATTGTGTATTGATTGTGTTCTGTTGAAACGAGCTATATTCACTTCGAATTTGTTACTACTCCGTAATTATCTTGAGTACGTTTTGTGTCCGTTGGTGGAATGCTTTTTCTAAGCTAGCATTGGATTCTCTGAATATGTGCAAGAAGTTTGAGATTCATTGTTTAAGAGATTCCATATGGGTCAATAGATTCTGTTTTTGAGGCAAGCAATTAGATTTGATGCACATAAAAGGTGGACTTGTGAACTTTTGAAATGGTGGCTGATCCTTTTTTTCAAGAAAGGCAGTGTTCTTGGATGGTTAGATGCTGTGGGCATGAACTATTCGCTTAGCGGTAGATGGAGGATACAAGTTTGTGATGTCACTCGTAACATAATAGGGCTAAGGTGGTATTCTTGATGGCTGGCAGTTCAGCTGTTTGGCTGCGAATTTTGAAGCATTTTATTGTTGTAGTAGATTTGTTTCGCCCTAGGCCAAGTGATGGCTGGAATATTTGGTCTAGATTTGCTTCCTTATATGGCTGTAAGCCTGTAATCAGATTATGTTCTGAAATGGGGAGAATAACTTTAGGCCAATCATGATTTGTACTGAAAAAAATAAATCATACAGAAAACTCCGCTGACAATGCTTGGGCTGCTTCCACTATGGAAGAAAACACTCGTTGATTGTGATGCATAGAAAATAGTAGCACCACTCCGTATTTTCTTTTTCTTGAGGATGGTTGAATTTATCATCTAGGTGTCTTCCGTTATTGACAGTATTTCTGTGAACCTTGTATCAAATCATATGATAGGATGGAAGCTAATGGGATTGATTTTGTGCAGGTAATGCGGAGACTCTTGGAACAGAGCTTCTGGAGAGTCTACTGAAGATGGCACCATCTAAGGAAGAAGAACGCAAACTGAAAGATTACAAAGATGATTCACCTGTCAAGCTTGGGCATGCTGAGAAGTTTTTGAAGGCCGTGATTGATATACCTTTTGCATTCAAGAGGGTGGAAGCAATGTTGTACATGACCAATTTCGAGTCAGAGGTTGAGTACCTAAAGAAATCTTTTGAAACGCTTGAGGTAATTCTTCATCTTAGATTTCCCTCCTTCAATTTGAACCTTTTGTTTTGAACCTATTCATGGATTTCTGTGATGAAAGTGAATTTTGTTTTTCCTTTTTATTGTGAGTGTCGGGATTGGGAGTGAAATAGGTCCAGATAAGCAGAAAACAAAAGCAAAATCTGATTTTATCATGACATACAGGACATGTACATTGTGTTGTGCGTATAGTCTTACCCATATGGCCATTACAAACAGAGATGTTGATCCATTGTTCTTGATTTGGAATGCAGCTATTGTTTGTTATTGCATACGAAATACTTCGTATAGATATAATGAAGGATCTTGGTTGCAGTATGGTAATTTTGGTCTGAATTTTTCATTTGAAAGGCCTAGTCTTGGCTGTCAGGTGACTTGTCCACTCTATGACGATCTTATTTCTTGTTATTTCTGATTGGCTGAGGCATATAATTGAGTTTCCTTGTGTAAAAGTCATGAGTAAAGAAGTTTATAAGATGATTAAGCTTGAACAGGACTGGACAGCTAAGCAAAAGTTTTAGATGGGAAATAAAACTTGAGGCAGAGATTGTGTGGCTAAACCCTTTTGGGATAGAACAATTAGTAGCTGCTGGATAAAGATAGGGAATTAATAATTTATGCTGTGTCCATTTATCTGTCCTTTGATTGGCCTACCATCGTATTTTTCGAACTTGTCAAACTCACGGCTTATTACTCATCTGTGTGCTACAGGTAGCATGTGATGAGCTGCGGAGCAGTAGAATGTTCTTGAAGCTTTTAGAAGCAGTCCTAAAAACAGGGAACCGCATGAATGTTGGGACAAACCGCGGTGATGCTCATGCTTTCAAGCTTGACACATTGCTCAAGCTTGTCGATGTCAAAGGCGCTGATGGCAAAACCACGCTTCTGCACTTCGTCGTGCAGGAAATTACTAGAACTGAAGGGCAACGCCAATCCACTGCCAACAACGATGTTTCAAATGATGAAGCCAAGTGCCGGAAGATAGGATTGCAAGTTGTCTCGAGTCTCAGCTCAGAACTTTCCAATGTCAAAAAAGCTGCTGCCATGGACTTTGATGCTCTCAGTAATGATGTTGCAAAGCTTACTCTAGGTCTTGCAAGTATTGGGGAGATTGTCAGATTAAATGAACAAACACTTCCCCAGGAAAGCAACAGAAAGTTTTCTGAATCACTGACCAAGTTCATGAAAATGGCAGAAGAAGAAATCTTCAGAGTTCAAGCCCAGGAAAGTGTGGCTCTTTCTCTCGTAAAGGAGATAACAGAATATTTCCACGGTAACTCAGCTAAGGAAGAAGCTCATCCATTTAGAATCTTCATGGTAGTGAGAGATTTCCTTTCAGTCCTAGAGCGTGTTTGTAAGGAAGTCGGGATGATAAATGAACGGACAATAGTCAGCTCTGCGCATAAATTTCCAGTACCAGTGAACCCAATGCTCCCAGTTCCAGTAAATCCATTCCTCCCCCAAGTTTTGCCTGGTTTTCCTGGGAGAAGGCAGTCTAGCTCCTCTGTTGAAGATTTTTCGCCGTAGTGTTGGTGAGGTTAGCCTGGTAGAGAGGCTCTGTATAAAGAAACTAGCCTGCAGGATTTTTTTTTTTTTAACATCTAATTATATGTAATTTCCATATTTTTGTAATTATTATATATAAGTATAATTTTGGAAATCGATTTTGATCTCATAGGAGGTACCAGGATAGATGACTGCTTGATTTATGCTGTATTAAAAATAATTCATCAATGGCGAAGAGCCGAAGACAAAAATTTAGATATTTGCTCTAATTTTACGATTAATATATGCATAAATTTTTTTAAATCACCCTAAAATAATTTTTGTTAGAGAACTAATAATTGGTAGGAGCAGGAAATTCTAACGTACAATATAAAGTACAAATACAAGATTACAAGTACCCTATTTATTTTTTTTGGTGAAAACGAGTACTCTAATATGGAATCAACTGATTTGCTCTAGTACCCCAAAAAAAACTGATTTGTTCTAATAATTGACACAGGGCAAAAAAAAAAAGGTGGAAGTACCCACAATTTTTTTATAATTTAAAATTTTATTTATTTTACTCACTGTAATTTTTAAATCTTGTCTTTTTTCTACCATTTGATTTAAGTTCTCACTTCCCTTTCATGAAAATAGTAATAGGGTCAATAATTGTGGGCGAATATTCCAGAACAACCAATTTGTCAAAAAAACTAGACAATTTTACTGTATTATTATTATTAATAATATACGTAGTATATTTTTTTAATTAGAAATGGACAAGAAGGCAAATAAAAATAAATTCCCAATCACCCATAAAGCACATGGGAAAGCCATAATTTTACATTTGTAGACAAAATAATGTAGATCAAGAATGAGAGACAAACATGCACAACTTGGACTATGGCATGGGTTGCATTTACTCTTTTTTTTTCATGTACTTTTTTTAATGCAATCTTTTGTCCCAATTTTTTCTACAATGGTACTCAATAAATAGATAATAAAAACTTAAAACATTAAAAAAAAAATAAAAAAAAAATTAATTACAAAATAAAAAGAGAAAGAGAATGGTGTGTCAATGTGTCATGTAATCACCATCCAAGTGTTCAACCCTAAGATGGAAAGAGCATGCATTGTTTTGAGAGAATGTGCAACTACTACTTTTTATTCTCATCAACCAAAACAAATTTTTGACTTGGCATATTAACCTTTTAAATGCTTTTATACTGTGAAGAAGTCCTAATGTCTACCTCTCTATATTGTTGATTTGTTGCTTTACTAATCTATTTGGTTAATGGTGACATAATTATTTTTGTAAACCTACCTTTGATTTGTCCTTATAAAACTTGTTAAAGGATATATAAATGCTCATTAAGTATCTTTATTGCCTCTTTATGAGTTATGAGTGTAATACTCGAGTATGGGTAGACGGGTGTCCTTAAACTAGTATGTACATTGTGTTGGATGATTGTATCTATCAGTTGACGAATTAATCATCCTTGGGTTGCAATAACAAATTGATAAGAAAAATAATCATGTAAGCAATCTTAGCTCACTTAGTAATGATCAAATTAGATGCCAAGGACCTCTAAATCCGACGAACTTGGCTGAATTTACCATTTAGTGTAACACATGTCAATAGAAAATTCTGCTATGAGACAATCTCACGATATGACTATTGTACCATCTGAAACTTGCTCAAGCCATCCCATATTGCATTAATGTCTATAAAATTGTGTATGATGTGACTTAAACTAAAGATAGGTCAACTTAACATGTTAAAATATACTTCAAACAAGTGAATATCACCCAAAAAATTAAAGATGCCTTAAGAATCTGAAGATATACTTGTTAGGAGTAGACAATTTCATATAATTTCTGAAACTCTTAAATAAAGAAGAGTTGATCCATGATCATGCGCAAATTCGTACAGCTGCTACATAATGGTTAAAAATGCCAATAAATAAAGGCATAAGAAAGTGGTTCTGTTGTATTGTTTTTTGCAGAACATGTGAATGATATCAGAAATCATCACATATTCTGAAGTTAGTCATTTTACGAAGACATACATAAACATATACAGTGAGCAATTTTCTAACCCTTATTCTTCAATAATGCTGGTCAGATCTTTGTTTGAACACTTACTAACTTGCAAAGCCTTTGCATCCTTTCGCTCTATAATATGACGTGCTTCCTCTTCGGTGGCTGCTACAACGTTGCGGATACTAACTTTGTTTTTCTCAGCCTTCGCTTCTGGACAGATGGTGAACGTGAAGTAGAATGTGTTGGACACCTGTATCATAGATTCTATGCAGATCAATAAAAATTTCAAGCAAATAGCTAAAATAATGGCTTAGGCATGATATTGATACGTCTCATAACTTCACAAACCACACAGGCACAATACAACAGTTTATCAGAGTATGCTCCATTTCGAGGTCCTAACTGGAAGATGCGAGATAAATTGGATCGTTCTGCTACACCGAGTGAAACGGGAATAAGCTTTGCCTATCTTCATGATAAATGGAATACTAATGGCCAATTAGTTGACAAAGAAAAACACAGGATGTAAAATATCTTTGAAGTAGAAAACTCAAAAGTTATTTGATTGACAAAAACATTTCTAGAGAAATTCTGCTCCCAGCAAAATTGGGAAATTTACTTGCATAATTCTTACTTAGGTAGGTAGAACATCATGTAGCCCTAAAATCAATCAAACGATTTTTTTTTACAGTTTCATTTCCTGGGTAATGCAACTTCCTACGTTCAACCATAGGACCACTAAGTCTAATAATTAATCATATTCAGACTATTGTGGAATTGTTCAAGAAAATTATGACCTTTCAAGATTAATCTACCAATGAGTCAAGTGTAAAATACTTCCTCTGTTCTTTCATGTTTAACTCGGTTATTGCAGACATTGGAAAAGGTGATTAGGTGTAAGATAAGGTAGGATAAAGTAAGGCCTTATTCTCTGCACCTTAAAATAAAAATGTTCACTCAAAAAAAAATTCAGTTCTGTAAAAATAAGTTCAGTTCTGTAAAAATAAGTTCAATTCAGTAAAAATAAGTTTAGTTTAACAAAAAATATTTCAATTCAACAAATGTAATTTTTAATCAGTAAAAATCAGTAACTTTAAAGAACAAATATAATAGAGTCAGTAATAAATTTTTAATTGGCAAAAATAATTTCAATTCAGCAAAAATAAGGTGAAGAGAACATGGCCTAAGAGAGAGAACGTAAAGTGAGTGGAAAGTGTGATTATTGTGGGGTAAAAGGGGTAGGCCTAAAAAATAAAGCAAAACGGGTAGAACAAAAAAGAACGATTAAAATGAAAAGTAAGTTGAACAAAAAAAAAAAACGGAAGGAGTATGTTTTTATTACAAAAATATAATAAAATTAGTGGGAATAAAATACAAAGCAATTATTGACCCAATATCCACCTCCCTTATGTAACTAGTATCATAACATGGTTATAAACTAAACATTTGTCAATCATTTAGTGAATCAAAATTCTGATAACCCAATTCAGCACTCGTTCTCCACGAGGAAATTCTGGTAAATATGTGCAAAGAGTATAATAAATAAAATATTATTACTCATGCTTACCTCACTTGACCTGATTTCAGGCCTTGTAACATGAGCTTCAACCTCAACATTTATTAAAGGATGTTCTGGATCTTCCAGTTCTGTGTAAAGGACACATGATTTAAAACGCAAAAAGTCACCAACATCCACCTGCATGAAAATAAATCAAAGAATTTAATCAGGGTTACTAGGAAAGAATTCCTCAAAAATGCAGTGGTTCAAGTAAAAAAAACAGACAATTTTAAGAGTAGAGCTGGATAAAATATTGACAAGAACGATGACTAAGTATAATCCCATTGTTGGCAAGACAAGATTTTAGTCACCTCAGTAGTGAGATTGACATTTTTTAATGCAGTTATTGCTTGTCAATTGTCAACTTATTGATATCCCCTAATGTAGTTTACAGAACCAGAATTAGAGTACTATTCCGTATAACTAATTGCACATCACAGAATGAGGAAAAACATCAGTTTCCCTATGTTCCAAACTAGTCATATCACTTTCTTAACTACAATAAAGAACTAAGAGATTAGATGTCAAGTAATTGAAAAGCGCAAATTTAATTTGAGACTTCCACAAAAAAGTGGCAGGGACTACAAATCCACAACCAGGAAAAATAGGAAATCAATGTCACAACAAAATAAGGATCATCAAGCAAACGAGATTGCTTACAGGTTTCAAGAAGTCAACATGATCAACTTCTAGAAAAGAAGGCCTCACACCAGCAAATGCATATGCAGTAGAAAATGCAAGCTCAAATGCTCTATGCATCAGAAACCCTCCAAAGATCCTACCGTGGATGTTTCTCTGCTGAGGCTGGCATATCAAAGAGTTTGCAAGACGGGTATCCCTCAAAAGAATGCTATTTCTATCTGCCAATGCTGGCATATCACAGAAGATGCGCCCCTCAGATAAAAGAGTTGCCAATCTATCTACTTCCCCATTTGCATAATCCTTTTTGTTTAAACCTCCTTTCCTTTTTCTATATTTGCTTCTCTCTTCTGCTTCTTCAAACAAAATTTTTTCCTTATCAGTTTCAGGAGAGAGCCTGTTAACTGGAGCAGCTTTCCGTGTCTTTGAATCCCGGGCCACGAAAATGAAATTAGCTGTAAGAGCAACTGAATCTGAAGCAAATGATCCTGCATAAGACAGCCATATTTTTAAGATTAATTATAAGTAGATCTAGACATGTTGAACATTTGGCATATATTGTAGTAATACATTATAATTAGCACTTTCGATATATTTGTGTTGAATCAGAAAATTGGAAATGTAATGGGAATATTACTAAGTGCAAGCAATCCCATGCTCATAGCAGCTAATTATTGTAACTGGTTATTTTTGGTTTCTGGACAGTCAATCGGGATGGAAATGTTAGTTTTGGACTAGGAGTGTCACTAAATCAAGCAGTGATTCACATGTTCTATGATCCTAACAAATTGTAGTAGTTTATGAATGTGAAGATTTTACAAAATCAAATTATCTTGGAGCCTGTTTTAATTTCATAAAGTGCACTCCAGAGGCTAAAATGAGACCAGATGCAAAATTGTATCAGTACCTTCAACGGCCTGACTAACATCCAGTTGAATCTCAATTGAAGACCACCCAACCCATATGACTGAACCAGATATCCTCAAATCACTGTCTACACTGATTGGCTTCTTCAAAACTATCCTGTCAACAGAAGCAGTGACCAGCAACAACGGTCTTGTAGTGTAGTCGTCATCAGAACAATGCTGAACCACCAAATATAGAAAAGATTTAGAAAATGGGGGATTAATCACTATCAGAGGGATAATACAAGTACAAGATAAAGGATATATCTCATCCATGTTTTTTACACCTCAGTATACAAGTACTGCAATCAGAGTGCATGAGATTCTTTCAACTACCATTCTGTTATCCTTGCTGACAGTTTAGTCATACTAATACCTTCGGGGAAGATCTTGATAGAAATCTTTAACTATTAAATTAATGAGCTTAAAGCCTAAAAAACTAAACTTTTTTTGTAGTCATAGAATGACATCAAATTTGTTAAAACGGTGAAGCTGAAAATGTTTCGTCCTCTGTCACCGCAGAAACTACATACAGGACCCAATAATGAATCCAGTAAAACACAATTTGAAAGATGTAGCTCACACACATCAAACTCACCTAGGAAAGACGAAATCTTAGAAAGATAGGAAGATGTATACTTATGTCTGTTATAGCTAACAGGATTGTCGGAAAAACATAACCCAAGATTGATTAGGCCAGCAATGAAGGTTACACCTTACTCGCTTGTTAGACCATCAGAAATCCTAACTGCCTACGGTAAATGGGAGGGAAGTCACCTCTAAGGCTCTAAGTCTCCTAGAATAATGGATAGTTCAATCCCATCATTGATTTCCTCCAACAGACGCATCCTCCGATCCATAAAAGATCCCTTCAACGCAGATGAGGGATTAACACAAGACCCTGAAGATCCCTAGTGCAGCTGATTTTGAAAGTTATAGCTCTAGTCTGTGAGGGTGGATGAAAATTACACAGGAATGAAATATTCATGATTTTTTTGATAGCCAGCAAGTTACAGATAAGAAAAGATTCCTTGACACAAGATTCATTAAATATCTATGGGTTCCTGACATCAAGCACACCAAGGAGGAAGGGAACCTTGACAGAGTTGTTGAAAGTTCTTCCTGACATCGAGCATCCTCTAATGAGCCTCAAAACTGCTTAGTATTTTCATTGACAATTTGAATTATAAGTCTGAATCAGTGCTTGCCGAAACTCTTGAAACAACGAGGCACAAAGGAATTACATCACCACCGAGAAGTTCCACACTTACCTTGTCGCATCAAAAAATCAAATATTTGTTGTTCATAAAGAAGTGATGCCAAAAGGCTTAAAATTTCTGAAGTGTATACTATTACTACAAAAATTCGACATTGAGGGGATAAGAAAGGATCTAAGGATGTGGTACCAAATCATTTATCAAGGTTAGAGCTTGGGAACGAAGGATTTGGACAATTGCATATAGATGACGAGCTCCGTGATGATGTATTGTCCGCCAATCAAAGTAAGGGCTTACCGTGGTCTGGGGATTTAGTGAATAATCTAGTTTGAAGCGCCACTCTGCCCAAGTTAACCCTCAACAAAGGAAGAAACTTAAGCATAATGCAATGAAATACATATGGGATGATCCCATATCGTATTAGAGAGGGGTGGGTGGTTTATTGTGAAGGTCACTCACTAGGTTGGAGCTGGCACTCTAATAAAACTGAAGCTAAGTCTTAATAGAGCCAGATGAAATTGAATTGCATCTTGAATGGATGCTCACTAGCCACTCAAATCTTGTTGTTTTCCACCCTATACAGTTGAGCGGGCCCTTGGCCATGGTATGAGCTGGCACTTGGTTAGATTTTGGGAAATGGATGCCCTAAGGCTCTAAAAAATGGACAATATCAATGCTAATGATAGCAACTCTTGCTGATCCTGCAAACATATTGATAATACTTGTGAACCCTAAGGTGGGTTGATAATAAGTCTTAAAGGGTTATGTCAGCAAGTTAAGGTAAAAGGCAAGTAAAGGATCTAGCTTTTCAAGGGAAGGGATATAAATGGATATTTATACTGTGTGGGGTTGACCCTACAGATTGGTAAAAAAATTTATGCATACTCATGATAGATCATTAAAGATTTTTCAAACAAGACCAATCTTCTTTCCATGTCAGGTTTGGCTAATCATATACAAGGGCCATCAAAGCAACATTGGATCGACAAGATTTTCTAACCAACTAGCTAGTTTTATTTAGGCTCATCAAACAGCATTCTCGCCCTCTTCAGCCAGATACAACTCCAATTTGAATTTATCCGGATAGGAAAATGTTATTCTTGTGTTGCTTTCTCCTTGAGGAATCTTGCAATACATTGTAATTTGTAATCTCCTCCTACTTTGTGATCCTAGAGCTTTACACTATAGTGAAACCAGATTTGTCAAGTTGTTTAATTGAAATCACTTAAATGTCATACAAAATTAGGTAAAAGTAAGGATATGATAAGGGAAGTACTAATGCTAATGAGTAAGGATATGATAGGAGATGTAAACAGCTTCATTAGATCAATGAAAAAATATTTAATTAAGGGGATAAAAAGGAAGGTGCAATGGCTAGAGTAAGACAGGTTGTTCTCCTATAGGGAAGGTGTTTTGTGAAGCCAGCAGTACTAGAAGCAAGAAAGGTGATCCAAACTCCAAAGCTAACCAAAATTTTCTAATCAATTTCACTCCAAGGATTTCCAGAACAATCTCCAAAATATTTGGCTTTATCTATTGATGATTAAAGAAAGGTGGAGTGAAGTTTCCTTCATGTAGAGGTGAAGTCTTAAAAAATCGTTAAACTAATGCTCATCAAAGAAATGTAGGAGTGAAGTATCCTTCAAAATAAGGTATAGTCTTGACAAGAAGTTCAGCTCTAGTGAATGTTTGGTTGGATTCAAATTGAAAACAAAACAAATTATGAACAGGTTTTGGTGATGGCTTCTTCCGATAATGTGGCATAATTCCTGCGTAAAATTGAAACGAAAAGGGCAAAGTTCGTTGTAGCCTACACAACCGCAAAATTATACCCCATATGTACTTGGCATCTTTAACTTCAGAAAAATGTATGAATGTGGAACATGCAATGCATTCTATGTCAAATTAAGTAATAAAAGCCCTTATAATTTATTCATGACACAACACAATATCTAAATACAATCAACAGCTAGAGTTGCAAACCAACTAAAGAAGCAAAGTAGCACTACAAAGAACAAACAACAGCATAAAGTATTGAAATGTAAGCCAGCTAACTTAGTTGGTAAAAGTCTAGGGTCATGCCCAAATACTAGAGCTCAACTCTCGTTGACATCATTGTTCTTTGAGACCTCTCTACACCAAAAAAAAAAAAAAAAAAAAAAAAAAAAAAAAACAAAAAAAAAAATGACAATCGAAAAATAAAAATTCGGGTTCACCTTGACAGAGATAGTACCAGCAAGGGCATCAAGATCTTCAAGCAATTTCCCAATTCTCATTTCATTCCAAGGATCCCTGTACTGCTCTCTGAGGATAAAATCAGAAGAGAAATTGTACAAAACAGTCATCCTAGATTGAGCAGGAGTTCTAGTAAGCAAATGGGTTTGTGGTGGATGATCAACAGAAGGGTCATTCATAATCTCAAAAATTTTAGACCTTGTTTCCCATAATGCTATTGTTACAGGTGAATGATACATTCCAGGCCACAAACTTAAGGGCTTCTGCTTCCCATCAGTGAATTCTTGTGTGCTTGAATCCTCAAATGGCTTTGGCAAATTTGAGTAAACTGATATGAAATTTGAGGGTGTATAATTGGGATGTTCCATTTATGAAAAAAAAAATGTTCTTTGAGGCAATTCGTCGAACAGTTTGTGGACAATTGGGTTATCAAAGCAATTAAGGGCAGACGGTTTGTTTGATTTAAAGATGGGAGCTTTTTGAGAAGATTTGCAGGTGATATGTTGGTAAGGAATTGTGATGACGAGAAAAAGCGCTTGTTTGTCTCGTGATTAAATAATTCAAGTCAAATAATTGGAAGCATCTCAATTCTGAATTATGAACAACGTACATGTTGAGAGTGTGTTTCTGAATACTTCCTGTGGAGACGTGGAGTGCAGAACTGGAGAACCTAGTTTTGACTTGTTCGTGTATTTTGTGGAGCTTAGCTTATGGCATGCCTGCAGGCTGCAGTCCTGCCCCGTGTTGTAAGACCATCTTTCCAAATACGACATTTATCTAGGTTAGGCCGATGACTCACAATTAAAGACACGAGATAAACTGCATAAAAGTCGATCAAATGTGTCATGAACACATGATAGGTATAAAAACTAATCAATCATGGGAGTAGTTGAATATCAAACAATCATTGTTGAATTTATACATGATTTCTTAGAAATGATCAGAAAAAACTTGAATTATAGTCTTCTAAGTTTTAGAAAATTAATCGTAGAGGAGAGAGAACAAGGTTCTTGTGAACCCCATATGGCCTTGGGAGGTCACTTGGGTAACATGTCTCAAATATCAATGTAGTCAGTGACAAACCTGCCTCACATCACCAATCGATCTTTATGTGACTTACGATTAGTCTTTTATAATTTCGGAATTTACCTCATAGTTATTTGAATTTTCGACACCGAAATCTTCAAAAAGTTAGTTGTGTGGAAAACATTTTAGACTTAATAAGGTTAGATATTAAGGTGTTTCTCATGATTCCAAGAGACCTTATGTAGCTTATTTGGTGTCCGAAACTCCGAACCCATATAATTCATGTCTTACTTCATAACTTTGTACCCCTTGACCCTCTTAATCAGTGTCATACTTAGGGGTGAGACTTTTCAAACCGAACCGTGAAACCGTCCGTTATCGAACCGAACCATCACGGATCGAACTGTTTATAAACCGCTAGTTTTAAACAGAAAACCGAACTGAACCGTATAATGTCAAACCGAAACCGAACCAAACCGATTAATGTTAACCCGTTACGAACTGTAAACCGATAACAAACCAAACCGTTTATAAACCGAAACCGTTTGAACCGATTAATGTTAACCCGCTAACTGTTTAAACCGAACCGATTATAAACCGAAACCGTTTGAATAGTAGGAAAAAACTGTTTAAATCGAACCATTTACAACCCGCTAACCCTTTACACTAAACCGTTGTAACCTGTTAAGCCGTTTAAACCGAACTATTTTCAAACCGCAACCCGTTTTAAACCGATCCGATTACAAACTGTTTAAAACAAACCGTTTACAACCCGTCTAACTACTCACCCACCATAAAACTCCCTCCCTCACTTGAAAAATCCTCCCTCCCCTCCCACCCGAACCCACTCTAACCGCCGCCGAACCCACCCTAACTTGCCCCCCTCTGTCGCCCACAACCTGAAAAAAAAAAACAGAAAAAAAAGGAAGAACGAAAATACCTTATATATTATTATATTAATCCCGAATTTGGCCTTGAATTTGGTTTTAAAAGGCCAAATTCGATCATGAAACAACTAGATCTAGAGTTTCGTGGTCGAATTTGACCATAAAAACCGTCGTGCGTGGTGCCGGTGGACGGTGACGGAAAACGAGATGGAAGAAGGAGAACATAGATGGAAGAAGGGAAAAGAAGAAAGGAAGATGGAAGAGGAGATGAGAGAGAAAACGGGAGAGCAGTGAGCATATTAGCAGCCATGGCTCAAAAAATTGATAATATTACAAAAGAGGAGAGAGAAAACGAGAGAGAAATCAAAGAGTACTAAAGAGACAATGGTAAGAGTGATTTGATTAGTGGAAAAGAAAACACACGGATCATGAATTGGAATGTGTGCGATGATAGGCCGTTAGATGACATGCAAATCAATGGCTGATATTTAATTTAAGACGGTGACACGGATCGTGGAATGATGGATTAGGATAGTGTGTTTTTTTTTATTCATAGCTACGTACTAATAAAAACACTACTGTACTCTTAAAAAATGATTAACTTTATGTAACTTATCAATTGTAAGAAATAGAAATGTTTGGAAATTCAAATTGATTCAATACGACATATTTAATGTATTTTAGTTATTATATGTAATAAATAATAATGTATGGTACGATTGGTATCATACTATCATTGGTATGAATAGATAATCAATAAATGTATCTGATTATTAAAACTTAAAACAGTTGATGATCGATCTAATTGAATACTTCTACTTCTCCACCCGTTTTCTTTAACTTGCAAGTTGCAACATATATATGTTGCAACCTTGTAGGCACGTAATCTTAAAAGGTGATCAGAGAGGGTAAGAGAACAAAGTAATTCAGCAATATAACTTTAACACCAAAATTATGGAATAGTTACAAACAATTGTCAATTATTACTTTATTAGACTAATGGGAAATTGAATAATTGTGATTTTAATTAAATATCCAAATATAGTTCTGTAACATTAAATTATTAGTTTATTACAATATCAATTATTGATTTATCGTATTCAAAGTACCAACTCATCAAATCATGGTCATGACGCGATCTTTAAAACAAGAAGTTGATAACCTGATAATAATCAATAATGAAACAATAATACATTAATACCTTATAAATTTGTAATAGACTAATATTTAATAAACAACAACAAGACTATAACCAAACTTGAAACATAACACATTAACATGATATAGAATATGAGAATTTCTGTAATTCTATATAATCTGATATCTGAATCGATTTATCGTATTCAAAGTAGCAACTCATAAAAATATGGTCATGACACGATATCTAAAACAATCCAACAAGAAGCTGATAACCTGATAATATTTGATAATGAAACAATAATACATTATAAATTTATAATAGACTAATATGATAATATCTAATAAACAACAACAAGAGTATAACCAAACTTGAAACATAACATATTAACATGATATAAAATAATTGAATAAATAAAGATTTGTGTAATTGTATATAATCCGATGTCTGAAAATAAAGTGACGAAATACCAACTTGATATAAAACGAAACAAGCTAATCGGTCAAAAACTCTTTAAACCCAATTTCTACTCGATCCATTTTTTTTTTCACCAACCTATACTGACCTGCTAATGAAATGGAAATACTAGTCCCAACTTGATATAAAACAAAACGCGCTAACTGGTCAAAACCACTTTTTAGAACTCAATTTCAACCCGAATCAAACCGACTTTATCTAGTTCGCTAAAGAAATGAACCTTTTCAACCCGATCCAATTTAACCGATTACCAAACTAACCCGAATGATTTTAGCACCAAACCGAGTATAAACCGAACCGATATGAATCGAACTAGCATTAACTAGGGTAAACCCGCCCCTGAACCGACCCGTTTCAAAATAATTCGTTCATGACCCGAACCGATATGAACCTGAACCGACGTTGATCCGGTAAAACCGCCCCTGAACCGACCTGTTTCAAACCGATCCGATTATGAACCGAATCGTTTAAAAACCGAACCAGCATTGACCCGAGTAAACCCGCCCCTGAACTGACCCGTGTCTAACCGATCTGATTATGACCCGAACTGTTTATAAACTGAATCGTTTATGACCTGAACCGAATTTAAACCGTACAAAAATAAACCGAAACCGAACCGACCTGTGACTAATCAGAACCGAACTGAACTGACCCGCCGTTTAAATGAAACTGTTTCAACCCGAACCGTTTCAAACCGAAACCGTTTCAAACCGAAGTCAAACCGAAGTCCCACCCCTCATACCTTAGTCAAGTTTATGTCTTGCATTGTTTATTATTCATGTCGTGCTTCTCCAGTATGTCTTAAGACGAGCCAAAATATTGTTAACCTAATGTCACTTCGATTCGTCTCCTCGGCCTAATTTAATCGACTTGGACTTAAGGTTAAACCAACTGTCTATCCAAGTAGATTAAAATTTGGGCCCAGATTTTGATCAATCCAAACACTGAACCAACCATCGTCCCCTTCGTCACTCACTACCTTCAACAGTTCAACCCTAACTCTCACTCTCTCTCTCTACCAAAAACTTCAACTCACACACCCAGAAAAAACAATGGAGTAAAGCCATCCTTAAACCCAAAACCCAACAAAAAATTAATCAAAAATTCACAATGAGCAAACCTCCATTTTCATGGCTTTCCCGCTTAATCTCCACCAAAACCCTAACCCTTAAACCCACCTCAACCCCTCATCATCACCACCATAATCGTACATTCTCTATCCTCCGACCCATTTCTTCAATACCCACATTCAAATCTCCTCTACAAATCCGCCATTTTTGCGATTACAACTACGCAGAAGATGAAATGGCGCAGTCACTCCAAAACCTGAAAAATGAAGCAGAAAGGGAGAAGCATAGGGAGAGGGAAGAGAAGCGTAAAGCGGGTATTTTCGTTGATGAAGCAGCTGAAGAAGAGGAGGATTGGATGGGTGTTAATCCTTTGATTGAGAAATTGGAGAAGGAAGAAGCAAAGGGTTATGGTATGCATGATAAGGTGAAATGGGATCCCAGTTTTGATGATTTTAGTGATTCGGATTCTGAAAATGATGAAGCTGAAGATCCTGAAGTTATACAGGAGACTAGGAAGTTTAATTTGATGGTTGAAAGGAAGTTTAATCGTTATCAGGAGTTGCTCAAGGAATTTGCTACCTCAAGTATGGTCTTTTTTTTTTTCCTCCTCTTTTTCTGCTGTTTATATTTTGATTATGCTAATAATTTATCATTATTCGATTGTTCCGTTTGAAATTAAGCTTTGAGAACTAATTTGGTTTCGAATTGAGTCGGATTAGATCATGTTAGGCAAATGTGGCTATTGTGATTGCTTTAATAATTTTGCAATGTTGTAATGTTATGTTTGTATGGAGATTGGAGAGTAATTGAATGTCTTTTCAATCTTTTGTTTAGTTGGGTGGGAAGCTAGATTAGGTGTTTTGAAAGTTGGTATTTTTTTAAAAAAAAAAATTTAGTAGGATTAGACCATGATTGGGGAATGTAGCTGGTAGTAGGTTTTGGATGTTACGTGTAAAAGGTGTTAGAGTTTATTTTAGGGAAATGGTGCAATGGTTTATTACTATGGACTGCAACTGAATGTCTGGACGATATTTTGTTTCTTGTATGGATTTATATGCTAGTTGATTGAAGGATCTACAAATTGACGCCAATTACTGCAACCAGGATCAACGGCATTGGGGTGATAAGATTAACCAGCCGAGTAGAATTACACTCTGTTTGTGAAGGTAGCTCTTTTGGCTGTTGTTACTTGTCGTAGTAGCTGTTGGACGTTATGTGTCAGAGCCCCTTTGGGGAATTGTTGGATGTTTTGGTTAATATGGATAGTAATTGAATGTCTTGACAATCTGTTGTTTAGCTTTATGGGAAGCTTATTGGTGTTTTGAAAGTTAGGACCTTTTGAATTGAGTAGTATTAGACCCTGTTTGGTGAAAGTAGATATTGTTATTGTTGTTAGGTGTCATAGTAACTATTAGATGGTGATAGAGCCTCTTTTGGGGAAATGCTGCAATATTGTGCTGATATGAACAGTCTTCAAGTTGAGTAGGGTTGGACCATGTTTGGCAATAGTAGCTATTGTAATTGCTATTAGTTGTCGTAGAAGCTTTTAAAGCACCTTTTGGGATAAGTTTGAATTTCTCATAAATCTGTTGTTAATACTTTTCTGGAGTAATATGCTAGTTGATTGAAGGATTTTTCAAAAATGGCATCCCTTAATGTAGCTCTTCAGTGGGTTCATAAAGACAGTATTGTACGTTATGAATATTTTGTGGGTTATGAAAGCTTGCAATGCTTCCATGAAGGTTCTATTGATTATAGAGGCTAGATAGTGGAAACAGGACATGGAAGTTTTAACTATCTTCTTACATTTCTGAAGAATGGTTTCTATTGGGGTGGTAAAAAAATTCAGTCTATGGTATGTTACCGCTCATAGCTTTACTTTGTTTAGCTAAGTGCAATATGTTTTGCTATTTATGAATTTAAATGTCTGCCTTGCCTTGATTAATCAGAACCTGAAATTTTAGATCCTTTCAATTCTTATTAGTTTATTAGCTCAAATCATCTCCTAAGTCGATGCATGCGTTGAACTTGTAGGAAAACCTATATGAAACAATTAATTGTTGCTTAAATATATACAAAAAATTGTAGTTGCTATGTGGAAATATTGGAGATACAGAAACTACTGTGGAGGTGTGGACAATTATGTAGGAAAGTATATTTATGATCTTTTTTCAAAATTCTCGAAAGTGTATTGGCTCTCAACTTCTGCATATGGTCTGATTTAACCCAAAGAGTTGTAATATATTTATTTATTATTGCGTAAAAATTTACTTTGAATAGTTGCTGAAGTCTGGGTTGCATTATTATGTACTTTTATCATACTTAGAATTGGTAAGTTAGAGATATTTCTTGTAAACAATTAACATATATAATTGATCACATACCATCTTGCTATCCATTTTTATCATCAAACTTAGGCCTGCTATAATATGAAATGACAAACAGCTGAATGTAATTGATGATTTGGTCAGCTAGTTGTTAAGAATATCTGACAAACTGTTTGTATTAGCGCTGTTGTTAGCTGTAACTGTTTAAAGGTGTAAAGAGCTTTCTGAATCAATAAGCTTGAGCTAGCAGCTTTTGATGAACAGCTGTTCAGACGCAAACATCTAAGGCTCTTACCGAGAAAATGTTTTACCAAAAACAAGAGCTTGGAGGTTGAGATGTAAAATGTTTTAGCCCCCTCAGTGCTTGAACCAAATACCTCCGGAGACCGTATACAAAATTCTTTTGAGATTCCAGTTTTGTGAGAGGGAAATATTGTTAAGAGTTTTTAAAAGTACCTTTGGCCCTCCCCCAAATCACGTGTGCCGTTTGTTTAGGATCTGCTTTATCGGACGGTGTTAGAGTCAAAATATGTCACCTGTGTGGCCTTGGCTTCTGTCTATGCTTTAGCTGTCTATGCATGAGAATTGAGCATGGCTGTATAAAGTTGTGCTTAAATTATCAATTATCTCACAGGAACTTTTGATGATGGCTTGAAATGGATGAAAAAGATTGATAAGTTTGAGGAGAAGCATTTCCGTCTTCGACTGGAGTATAAAGTCATTGGCGAATTGATCAATCGTTTCAGGGAAGCCACTGGAAAAGACAAGTTTCTGCTTGCCCAGAAGTTGAACAGGGCTATGAGGTTGGTGGAGTGGAAGGAAACTTTCGATCCTAAAGATCCTGCCAATTATGGAATTATACACAGGGAGGAATTGCCTTCTGCAGAAGTCGTCGAGGATGATGACGTTGAGAGGGAAAAGTCGATGATAGAAGGCAAAATCGATGATGATGATGAGGAAGAGTTTGATGACATGAAAGAGAGAGATGACATACTTCTGGAGAAGCTTAATGCTATTGACAAAATGCTAGAAGAAAAATTAACAGCATTGGATCATACATTTGGAAGGAAAGGAAAACTTTTGGAAGAAGAAATTAGAGATCTTGCAGAGGAGAGAAATTCCTTGACAGAAAAGAAAAGAAGACCAATGTATAGGAAAGTAAGTGTCAGCATCATCTTTATCACACTGATATTTCATTCCTATGCCACCTTATACTGAAGGTTTGCAAAAAAAACCTACAGTGACTTTAGCTTACAATGCGCTCTTCTGTATTGGCTTTAGAATTTATTCTTATAATATTAATATCTCATATCAGTCCGATATTTTAAACGTCTAAGTTGAAAAATGTTCAGTTCAAAATTCTAGTTGAAATCTTGTCAGCGCATATGATTATCACATGTACTTGAATGAGGTACTACCTCCTGATATGGGGATTTATTTTTCCTGACAGTATTCTGCCTGGGAAGTAATTATAAACTAAATTAGCTGGATAGATGTTAATGATTGTAGCTTAATTTGGTGGCGAGTTGCAGCTGTAATGTAGTAGTTTGATGTGTCAAATCATTTTTCATCTCCTTTAGACAGAAATTTTAGTGTACAACAAAGATTGCATAGCTTGGTCTATTTAGTGTATGTGACACTCTACGAAGTAACTTTTTGGTATTGAATTACAGGGCTTTGATGCACAATTGATTGATATGAACCGGACATGCAAAGTGACAAAGGTATAATTGCACCCTTCTTTTAGTTTTCTATTCTTAGCCGGTTAAAATCTCTTCTCTAACTGGGCTTCACACTCTAGGGTGGTCAAGTGATCAAGTACACGGCAATTATAGCATGTGGGAATTATAATGGTGTAGTTGGTTTTGCCAAAGCAAAAGGTCCAGCAATACCTATTGCACTTCAGAAGGTATGTTATTAAGTTGCTAAATGATTCTCCAGCTTGGCTTTGATGACTTGTTTAATTTGTCAATGCAAGTTTCCTTCATTTGAATACGTTTACAATTTGTCGTGAACTACTTGCCTAAACCCATTATTTAGTTTCTGATTGTCAGGTTTTGACACATAAGCATGGCCATATGCAACTATAAATTATCTTACAGTTAACAATTGCTGCAATTCTGGCCATGAGTCATGTTATACAGTATTGTAGTATGAATAAGGAATTGCTCTTGTCAATTTTCCTGTAGTTGTAGAGCTCAGGAAGTTTGTAATGTTAATATGTGCTTGGCCATTAAGGGCCATGATGTAAACTTTTCTTTCAAGCTAATTGTTGCCAGTTTTTACATTTGTGAAATTATAAATTTCCAACAATTAAATTTAAGATCTAGTCAAAATTAGTGGTGCATTGTTCCCAAGGTGTCGTGGAATCCATGGGAGGAACCCTTTCACTTTTCATTCCAGGTGCGGAAAAGTCTAAAATTGAAGGTTATACACACATGGGACCAATTTTAGAGGTTTTGGGACCCCGTGTCCAAAAACTCGAGATTGTAGGGGATGCATATTGGGGTCATATAACATTGTTTTGAACCATATATGACCAGCTGACCACTAGTCAGTTATATAAAGTCCTCTTGGTGGCTTTAAGTTAATGAATTATGTGTAAGTTGTAAACGAGTAAATTGGCAATTTAAAAGCAAAAGTGGATGGTTCCAACCACCTAAATAGACTCCCGAGGTGTCTTGGGGTCTACGGGAAGCACCCTGTCCTTGTTTTTTTTTTTTTGTCCAAAAAAAGTCAAAAAAATTTCAAAACTGAAGTATATAATCCATGCTTTTGGGCCAATTTTGGGAAATTTTCCGAAATTGAAGTGAATGTGTGGGTTGTGGGATGTCCTCCAGGGTCATATAAGTTGGTTTGGAACCATAAGAGGCTTATCAATAGGCCTATAAAGTCCTAAAAATGAGTTTGGTATGTTGTATTATTGGTAGTGAAAAACTGCTAGAGATGGTTCCAGACTTCCAGTAAAAACCAAATTAGCATTTCAGCTGCATGGAGCCTTCATCTTCATTGGTGTTGTTGATTATTCCCAAATTCATTACTTACCAACATTCCATCATGATGAGTATTTAGTATTATACCATTACACTATTTTGGTGCTGGTGTTGGTGTTAGTATTAGTGTTAGATTACTCAACACCAATAGTTATAATGGAACGGAAATGGGAGCCTTTTTTATCTCAAGATGGAAAATATGTATGTTATATAACTAAATGTATATAACATTTTTGGACCCGACAAGATTATGCATTGAGGATTTGAGGTGTTGTTGAGGAAGCACCTATATGTACTGGCTGTTTGCCTGTTATTGAGAAATTTACCTACTATGACTGGTTCTTCATTTCTCCTGGTATCTGATGTTATAGTAGTGTATGCCTGTTTACCACTTTACTGAGCTAGATAATTAGTTTATGTCTGTTTATGAACCATCATTAACTGGTTCATTATTGTAACTTGCTATAATTGAGTTTGTTTTTTACCACCGTATTTTTTAGCAGGATTGTAGTAATGCCATTTTATTGGATGTCATCTGAATATTATTTTCGTGTACATGAACAGGCATATGAGAAATGCTTTCAGAATCTCCATTACATTGATAGATATGAGGACCATACAATTGCACATGCCGTACAGACTACATACAAGAAAACAAAGGTTCCCCACCTCTCTCTTTTTCTAGCAATCTCGTATTCGTACTTTGCTTACAAATTCACTTAGTTGTGAACTGATGCTCACTGAATATCATATTATGCTCTGAATGCTATTTTAGGTCTATCTATGGCCTGCAAAAACTGCAACGGGAATGAAGGCAGGCAAAACTGTACTCACAATTTTAAACTTGGCTGGCTTTAAAAATGTCAAATCAAAGGTATGCATCAGCTTTAATGCTTTATTAGCTACTTCGTATTACACTTTAGGGCCTTTAGGCTGTCTTGGTTAGACGGAATCGTTTTCCAATTTTCCAAGAACACAGGATTTCCCCTTCTCCGGTGTTTGGTTTGCAAAAGGATGAACATGATAATTTTCAGTTGAACATAGATTTGTCATGGTGGAAAATACTTTCCTCAAAGAACCTCAGCTTAATCCTCTTCTCTCACCTCCGTTCCCCTTTTTTCTTTTTCTCTCCAACTTCTCTTTTAAGGAACTAAACGCAGGGAAATAAAATTTAAAATCTTTAATGATGCATTTTGTTACATCAATTAACCCTGCCTTCTCAATACCATTCTGGTGGATATAGCATTGTTTATGAACGTGTATTATTCTTGTCTGTTTAGGTTATTGGTTCAAGGAATCCACATAACACTGTCAAGGCTCTTTTCCAAGCTTTAAATGCGGTGAGTAGATTTAGCTATCAATCCCCCCTTCCCCTTTTACTCCCATGGTTGGGGAATTCTCATCACTGTTTCCTCATTGCTGTTTATTGTTATGCATTTTGCACAGATCGAAACTCCAAAAGACGTTCAGGAGAAGTTTGGCCGAACTGTTGTTGAATCTTATCTTCTATAGTTGAAGTTCCCAACCATTTTCTGTAAACCTTACCTTTTTTTTTTTTTTTTTTTTTTTTTCCTTGTTTCATTCTACAAAAGAATCATTTTTTTCCCCTTTGGAGTAGAAAGGGAGAGAGGTGAAGACCAATATTGTTCGCTCTGCTTAAACAATGTATTTTTGTAGTTTAGTATTGTATCCGCAGAGGAATATCGTTGTCCAGGATATCACTTTTAAATTTTCTTCTGTTTGGGTTGTAAAGGCGAAAACAGTCATAGTATTCAGCTTTTCTAATATTGAATAATCTTCCAAATTCGGGGGAAGGAATGCTACATTTTTCACCTTGTTGTCTTCACCATTCAATTGCTATTTTGTGTATCGGTGTAAAATGGATAGTTGGAATGAGAATTGACAATTGTATACCCTAATTGAACAAGTGTAAATTAATCAACAGATTAACCAAGGAACAAGTCAATTAATTGCAAGACCTAATCAGATAACCAGATTAAAATTTACTGTATTAGTTTTGAAAAATATATTTTCGCATGATTAAAAAGTGTGTTATGCATCTCTATTTATGCAGTTTTAATTTAATAATAAGTTAGCTTAAGAGTTTCACACTTTACAGTATAAACTATACCATGAGAAGTAAAGAACGTTGATGAATTTGTGGCTTTTCTAGGTGGATGTTAGTAGGTCATATCTATATTATTAAAGCAAAGACGCCAAGCCATAAACTGTACTCTTTACAAATGTAATTGCAATTATGTTTTTGGTTGATAAAGAATAATATTACTTGTGAAGGCATTTTACAATTGCCGATCCACACCCTACATCATTAACATCTTTAGTTAAAAGATAAAGAAAACCCCTACGTACTCTAAAATGCTTTTAGTGAGGTTTAATCCCACGATATTACCGTATTGAGATGCTAACTTTTTCACTAGATAAAACCTTATTTTGTAATCAAACGAATATGCGAATAGTGAAAAATAATCTTGCCATTGACACGGGAGATAATACATTATACAACCGTAGTGGGGGCCGTGGGCTCAATAAAACACAGCAACATACTCAGTATTTAGCCAATGCATGCTAAATGTGACAAACAATTTACCTCAAAAAGTCAAACTACACCAACATAAAACTCAAAAATAAATACGTGGCTTAATTTAGAACACAATTAATCGTGTGGTTCACTAGTATATACAAAAAGTTACACTGTCCTAAGCTTGTACGCAAATAACTCCAAACATTTGTTACAAAAATCATTCACTCTTCCTTTACTGGCTCTTCCATTAGTTTCATAATTTCATCAAAAATCACTCCAAAAAAAAAAATCATCTTCAACTTCAAAAACACCAAAAATATGAAGAATGCTAACCAAGCCCAAAAGGCCCACATTCATGTTCTTGTACTTCCATACCCAAGCCAAGGCCGGATCAACCCAATGCTCCAATTCTCCAAAAGGTTGGCCCATAAAGGCATCAAGCCCACCTTAAGCCCAACTCTTTGCTTCTCCAAAATGATGGACACGACCGCCATCACAACCCATTATGGCTCACCAATCAATGTACGGCCCATTTCCGATGGGTATGACGACGGTGGGTTTATACAGGCTGGGTCCATTACAGCCTACTTGGATAGTTTCAAAACCATTGGCCCAAAAACTCTGGCCCAACTCATTGAGAAGCTAGCTGAGGAAGGTGATCCAGTTAAGGCGATTATATATGACGGGCTTTTACCTTGGGCCTTGGATGTGGCTAAGCAGTTTGGGCTTGGTAAGGTATTGTTTTTTCCTGAGTCTTGTTCAGTGAGCAGTGTATACTACCATGTACATTGTGGGCTGATCAAGGTCCCTCTTATGGGCCCAAGCCCAACGACGGTCTTGATTCCCGGGGTGCCGGAGCTCCAGCCATCGGAAGCTCCGTCGTTCGTTGCGAACGGGTCACACCCGGAGTGGTTAGCTTGGGTGTTGAGGCAGTTTTCTGATCTTGATAGAGTGGATTGGGTGTTGTGTAGTATTTTCTATGACATGGAAAAAGAGGTACGTCCAACCTATACAAAATACAATAATGTAACTTTGTATGTGGTCTATTAATGTGACCCCCTACATTGGCTACATATCAAAATAATTGATTACTTGATAGTTACATGTTTGTCCTACAACCTAAAATTAAATTCTTCTTTCACCATTTCTTACTTTTGACGTTATCACCCACTACACTTTAATTTATTACATAGTAATACAAAGTACTCGTATATAATTATGTTAGGTTTCACTAGATTTGTCTCACTATATATTTTCAATTACACGATTAAAGATAAAAGGACCAAAGGTGTGCGTTGTAAAATATGTCAAGTTAAAATGAAACAGCTAAGAAGATAAAGAAATCAGTCAAGTAACAGTAGCGATAAATAAAGAAAGTGAAGTATTAAAATGTGCCTATTCAAAATTGAGTTTATAAATAAGCAGGTGAAAATGAGTAACAAACTAACTATGTATAGTGAAAGTGAAGTACTAAACCTAGATAAGGACATAAGGTACGACATGAATTTTGATGGCCCACTACTAAAAATATGGACCTAGTACTTAAGTGCATGTAATAGTGTATGTATTGTAAATTTGTATATCACACTCCCTTCTAATTTGTACTAGAGTGTATGTATGTATTGAACAAACTAGTAGTTATAATGTCTTGCAATACACTTTTTAATGGTATTAGAGTGTATGTATGTATTGACAGCTAACACTTATGGCTTTGACTTATTATTTGTGAAGGTTGTTGATTGGATGGCCAAAATGTGCAACATACGCACCATAGGACCAACAATTCCATCATACTATCTTGACAAACGAGTAGAAGATGACAAAGACTACAGCTTCCAACGCTTCAAGCCAATCACAACCTTATGCAAGAACTGGTTAGACTCCAAGCCAAAAAACTCCGTCGTTTACATGTCCTTCGGAAGCTTGGCTAAGTTATCCGAACAACAATTCGAAGAGCTAGCATGTGGTTTAAGAAACACCCACCAAAGTTTCTTATGGGTTGTAAGAGAGCTAGAGCAAGCAAAACTACCAAAGGAGTTTATAAACGAAACCTCGGAACAAGGCCTAGTTGTGGGATGGACTTCACAACTAGAGGTCCTGTCACACAAGGCGATAGGGTGTTTTGTGACGCATTGTGGGTTTAACTCGATCCTTGAAGCGTTGTCCCTTGGAGTACCGGTGGTGGGTGTACCGCAGTGTTTTGATCAAGGGACTAATGCCAAGTTTGTGGAGGATGTTTGGAGAGTTGGTGTAAGAGCTAAGGTAGATGAAAAGGGGGTTGTGAAAAGAGAGGTATTAGAGGAATGTATAAGGGAAGTTATGGAAGGTGAGAAAAAGGAAGAGTTAAGGAAGAATGCTGATAAATGGAATAGGTTGGCTAAAGAAGCGATGAGTGAAGGTGGAAGTTCTTATAAAAATATTGATGAGTTTATGGCATTTTTAGGTAAATGTTAGCACCTTAAATTTATGTTTATTGTGTTAATTAAAGATGTTGCATACATTTGATAGTGGTATGGTCATGGACAACATTATATGGTGTTGATTGCAAAATTTTCAAATTATAAATACCACTTCCATGAGTTCTGTGATACCTTTAGAAGCATATGTAGACAATATAGTACTATTACAATACCAAATGATACATAAAAAAATACTATTAAGAATTGCTTCTAAATTTATGTTATGATAAACATTGGTAAATGTCTAACTGTGATTCGCTGTAAATCTCGCCCTTATTTTAGACAATAAACTAAATGGGAAATGGGGATCGAATAATTCTTCTCACTTCTTTCTTCAATATCCTAAAATTTCTCGATGAAACAACTGGTTTCATATTTTGTGTAAAATGGAGATTTGAAAAATGACTCATTTTACCTCACACTCGTAACCGATACAGCTATGCGCGATTAAGATTTCATGCATCAACGTTGAAAAACTCTTATACTTCATCAAATGATTCAATACAAGCATCAAGTGACCAAAGTTTGGCCTATGACATGCATGGTAATTAATTTCTACTCCATAGTTCTTTGGATATTATTTTGTGTTTTCATACGAAGCTTAAGTATCTAATAAAGTAACAACTACGGTTGTCATTTCATGAGTTCTAAACATATTGGAAAATTTTCGACATAATTCAATTCTCTCTATTTTTTTTTAATCATGTTGAGCTTCTGGTTCTTCTAAACAAAGCTAAATGGTTTTTGCAATTCATATAAATTCAAGTAAACTGAATCCAATGAATAGAAGACAACCTCATAAGTTTTTTCTACAATAATAAAGCCGGTAGACATAGGTTATTTTGAAGCATACTGCGTGGCTATGACCCAATCAAATAATACAGTTTTCTTCGAGGAATTCTCTACCTATAATAATTTGAGTCATGAATGACTCTAATAACACGAGTTGGTATTAAATTATACTTTAGATAGTATTATCATGATACCAAAATACTAGTTCAATAGTACCAACGAATGCTAAAATGTTTTGTTGGTATTGATATAATTCCTTGTTGATATTTAGATGATACCATCTTGGCACAATTTAATACCAACGCCGTGCTATTAGAGTCATTAATGACTCAAATTATTTGAGACAGAGAATCCTCGTTTTCTTCCATGATAGTATAATTGGTCAATTCCTCCCTATAAATACACTTCAGTCACCAACCTTTTATAAAGTCCCAAACAACATTTGTACATTTATATTTCCCAAAACACTAAAACAAATCCATCATTTGTACCACCTCCGATTAAATTCTAAACTCCGATAACAACCATCATGGAGGACACAAATAAACCCCATAAAGTCCATGTTCTTGTGCTACCATATCCGGCCCAAGGCCACATTAACCCAATGCTTCAATTCTCGAAACGTTTGGCCTCCAAAGGCATCAAGCCCACATTAGTCCCAACCATCTACATTTCCAAATCCATGTCAACCACCACCATCACTACGGCCCAAAATGGCCAAACAATACAAGTACAACCTATTTCCGATGGCTACGACGATGGTGGTATAACCAAGCTAAGACTACCGCGGCCTACTTGGATAGCCTTCGGACCAACAGTTCAAAATCGTTGGCCCAACTTATTAAGAAGTTAAATGAGGAAGGGGACCCAGTTAAGGCAATTATATTAATTGTTTATGGCTAGACTCTAGTTTAGCCATTTATCCCTACACCCCCCCTAAACGACGCCGTACCACTACCCCCACACATTCCAATAACTTCCCTCTAAAACTGCCAGTAACTTCCCACTACCCCACCCATATATATATATAATTAAAAAAAAAAACTTTTCAAATAATCACATTTTTCTTTCTTATCCTCTTTCTCCAATTTCTCACTCAACCTCCATTTTCTCTCTCTACTCCATTTTCGTACATGCAATTAGCAAGTAAAATTGTCTAAAATGTCCGACATAAGAGACGAAATTGCACAATCTCGACAAATTTCAACAACAACAAACCAAAAATCTAATGAGTAAGTATGTTTTACATGTTTAGTGTAAAATTAATTGAAAATTGCGAAACAAAACCCTAATTTTTTGGTATTTTTTCTTTTTGATGATGCTTCAGGAAAAAAATTCAAAATACTGGAGTTCCAGAACAATCAAAGTAAGTATTACTATTTTTTTTGGAATTATAAGCATAAATTTATTTAAATTTGCTCATATTTAAACAAGTTATTGTTTAATTTCAAAATAAACATAATTTTCCTCTATTTCTGAGACGATAATAAAAATTTAAACAAGTTACTGTTAATATTGGAATGTATGCATAATTTTGATTAAATGATCAACCAAAAAAAATATAAAGTATAGTATTGTGAAATATAATGAACAAATACAAAACAGTATATGTTCAAATTGGATTGTGTGCATATATGTGTGCATATATATGTATACATATGTTCAAATTTGTATATTATGTGTACAACATGCAATTTATGTTTGTTTCTAAATTGTTCATTTCTAAATTTATGTGTATACATTTACTGACATATTAATTGTTCATTTCTAAATTCCATTTTGTACAAATAGAAAACATATACTTTATTCATCTGTGTAGTAAAATGAACATTTACAAAACACTATATTGTCAAAATTCATATTATGTTATATATATCCATATTTGTGTATACAAATGTTCATTGCTACAACTATATTGATCATTTATATGAACTATTCTGTACATTTGTCTAACATAGAAACATCATGTCAATTTTTATGATTTACAATATTAATTTACATTGTAGTGATGTACCATTTAAAGTGATACACTTGATGCAATTTGACAATGGAATGTTCAATCCTTATCCTATAATTCATGAGAGAAAAGAATGTTCTTAAATAGACAACAAATTGGATAGAAATGAAGTTATAAAAAAGTGGGAACCCTATTTATTAGGAGACAACCTACATTCCAAGTAAGTTGATATACTTACAAATATTCATATATGTAATATTTAATGTACAATCATTTACTTCAATACTTAATCTCATAATTGAAATAATTTGTAAAATTTTAGTGAACCAAAAAAGTTGAAAGTGAAATTTATAATGTCAAGATCAAGGCCAGAGAAAAATCAATCAATAAGGTATAAATACTTAATAAAAATTCAATAATTAATTTTTATACAACTACATAATCATACTTTTATGTATTAACATTCGAAAAATTTCAGTGAACAAGAGAAGGAAACTTCAAAAATAGATGATGCATCAACAAATCAAGGGTATATTCTACCTCAATGTGTTTAATGTTCATTTATTTCTTAGTTGTCATACATAATCTAATGATTTGCATTCTCAGAAAAAAAAACAACTGAAGAGGAAGCAAAAACTGATCACCTACAACAAGAAAAGGCTGGATCAGAATTAGTGAATACAGGGTATTTGATTCCCATAATGTTCATTTTCATATTACTTAATAAACATTTTTAATTATTTGAAATTAATTGATTTTCAGAAATCAATCACCTAAGAAAGACAGAAGAGAGGTTGAACAACTACAACCAAAAAAGGATGCAGCAGGGTATTTTCAGAAATCAACTAATGTTCATTTTCATATTAGTTGATAAACATTTTTAATCATTTTCAATTTTTAATTTTCAGAAATCAATCAACTGAAGATGAGCCTCCAAAAGAGGCTACAACAAAGGATCAGCCTACACAACAAGTGAAGGCTATAGCAGAGGATGAGCCTCCAGCAGAGGAAGAGCCTCCAAAAGAGGATGAGCCTCCAGCAGCAGTTGAAGAAACACATTCATACATAATGCAAAAGTATGAACATATATAACTTATTAAATGTTTCTATTCCACATTTACAATATTATTGATCATAAATTATCTGTTGCCAGGAAAAAATTAAAAGTGTCAACTCAAGGAATACTAAAAAAACTGACAAAAAACTGGAAAACTGCTCCTGTTAGCAAGGTCATTGCTGCTAAAAAGGCCCCTGCTACAACTGTTGATACTGCTGGAAAAGTCCTCTGCTGCAGAAAAATCCCATGCAGCAAGTTCTGCAAATGCACAACAGAAGGCCCCTGCTGAAATTAAAAAAATCCTATTAGGTAATGTACATAATTGTTAAATTAAATATTAAATTTTTTTAATCAATAAAACTTATACTGAAAATGTTCATTTACCAATTTGTAAATGATCTAAATGTATAGGTAGTGAAGAAATTGAGATTGAGGATGAAACAGAAGAAGAATTGGAAAGACAAAGACAAGAAGAATTGCAAAGGGATGAGGAGTTGACAAGAATATTGAGAGGTATAAAACCTGTTGAAGAGTTAAATTTGTCTCAAAAGAGTGAAGAATCTTCACAAAATTCAAAGCAACCAAGAAGGAAAATGGTTGCAAGGAAAAATCAAAAGAAAAAAGAATTGGAAGAAAATCAGAAAAAATAGGAAGATGAATAATCACCAGCAAGAAGAACAAGAAGTAAATCACGAGGTAAATAAAATGTACAATTTCTAATATAACAATGATCATATTAAATAAAATATTACAACTATATTAATATTTATATAACAATGTTTATTTGCAGATGTTAAGTTGCCTGGCATATCAGCTATAGCAACAGCTGCTACAGCAATTGCTGAAAACCTACCAGCAGCAACAACACCCAAAAAGCCTGGGCGTCCAAGGGCTGCAACTGCAGTTGCAGAGAAACCTGCTGAGAAAACAGGGCGTACAAGGGCTGCAGTTATTGAGAAAGCAGGCCAAAAAGGTAAAAGAACATATCTAAAACAATAAATGTTCAATTACAATCTTACACTTTTAAAATGTTTATTTTACTTAATGTAATTGATCAAATAATTAGGTGGTCAGAAAAGACCTGCTGCATCAGCTAAAGGTCCTGCAAAAAAAAGAAAAGTCATAGATCAAGTGCCTTATGATGAACCATCAGAGGATGAAGAACAAGAAGAAGTCCCTGCAACAAGTTCTGCTCCTGCAGAAAAGAAAATTCTTAAAAAGTAGAACAAAAAGGTAATGTACATATTAATAAAGTTAAATGTTCAAATACAAACTAGCAATTTACACTTTCATATATATATGTTCATTTTACATATTATAATTGATCAAATGTTTAGGTGGCCAGAAGAGGCCTTCTGCATCAGCTAAAGGCCCTTTGAAGAAAACAAAAATCATTGAAGAACAATCAAAGGAGGAAAATGAAGAAGATGATAAAAGTAATACTGATAGTGGATCAGACAGTGAGGATCCAGCTTTTGATGCTGAAAAAGAAGAAGATGAAGAAAGTGAGGAGGTGGAAGTAGTTCAAGAAAAGAAAACAACATTGAAAAAACCAAAAGCTGAAGAAAAAAGAATGGTTTTGTATGAGAGGGAACCAATAAAAAAGATTGTGAAGAGGAAAACTGAATTTTCAGTGGCTAAAAAAAAGAAGAGGAGGAAGAAAAGAATGAAGAGGAAGTTGGAAGTTCGACAAGAGGAGGCCATGTCAAATTCATGCATTGGGTTAAGAAAATGAGTGATACACAGAAGAAATTAGTGCATAAAATAGGACTGGGGCCGTTGTTGGATATAGAACTTCCTCAGCTTGACAAACAATTCAGCCATTGGGTTTTAGATAGCTTTGAAGTCAGTAGTTGTAGTTTTGAGCTGCCTAAAGGTGAGAAAATTGAAATTGAGGTGGAGGATGTGAGAATTGTATATGGTTTGCCAATGGGAGACATTCCCATTGTTGAAGCCAAATCAGACAGAGCAAGTGAAGATTTTGGTGTATTTATAAAAAATTGGAGGTCAAAATGGCAAGGCAAAACACCATCTGTAAACCAAATTATTGCTCAATATACAAGTGATAAATTCAAAAACCAAAGGCCAGCAGAAGAAGATTTTCTCACCAACTTTTTGGTAGTTGCTGTGAATTGTTTGATGAAGTGTATTTCAAACAACCAATGCCATTTCAAGTTTCTGTTTTCTATGATGGACAAAGAAAAAATAAAAAACTTGAATTGGTGTCAGTACGTGTTTGACTCTCTCATCAGTTGCCATGTGACATGGAGAAAGAGTGGAGGAAAAGGATTCTACAATGGACCACTGCAATTTCTGATGGTAAGTTTACAACACACAATAGTAAATTATAAAATGTTCATTTTAGTAACAATGAATGTTCATTAACAAAATGTTAAATATCGATTTCGTCTAAAATTTTAATCTTTTATATTAATTTTTCATTTGTATTATATTATATGTTCATTTATAGTAATGGGTTTTGGTGCTGCTGTTCTACTTTGACAGAGTTCAAAGATTGAACAAAATACAACCAAGAACAATTCCAATAATTTCTTGTTGGAAAAGGGATATGTCACTTGAAAGGATAAAAACAGAAAATGATTTGAACTATGGATATGGAAAAGTCCTTCCAAGAATAGAAGAAAAGCCTGAAGACAATCCTAAGGTACAAAATGATCATTTATAAATTATGAAATGTTCAATATCAAAACACATAATGTCTTATATGATTTTTTTTTATATGTTTTATAAATGACAGGTCTTTATGAATGAATTTGCATCAATGGTACAAGAAGTTGGTGCATCTTTGGCAAGAATTTCTACCAAATTGGTTAAGGCAAAAGAGCTCTTCCCTGGGAATCAGTTGGTCAAGAAGGTAGATGAAGTGTTGGGAAAGATGGCAAGAGAACCATCAATTCTCAGCCAAGATGAAGAAATATTTGGATCAGAGGATTTTTTGAATGCCATAGCTCAAATTGAGAAGGAATTGATGGAGGCAAGTGAAGCAGAAAAAAAGAAAATAGGAAATGAGAAGGAATATGATATAAGGAAGGCATTCAGTTTGGGTTGCAACTTAACTCCCCCAACTCCAACAACTGGTAAATATGCTTAATTAAAAACTGTCATTAATTTGAATATCCTTACTTAAAGAGTATAATATAATTAAAGAATTAAAATTTAATTTATTTGAACACAGAAGCACAGATTAATGTTGCAGCCACAACTTCAACAACAACTGATGCAAATGTTTCTTCTAAGCCAGAAGAGGGTAAAGCTTTAATATCTATGTACAATTATGAAAAGTATAATGTTCATTTATAAAATAATAAGTTTGTTTAGTCTAAATATTCAAAAAAGTATATGTTCAGAATAACAAATGTTCATTTACATTAACAATTTCATATATTTTAAATCAACAGAAAGAGTTGGAGGTTCAAATTCTGAAGAACCACAAGATGGGGGAAATTCAAAAAAAGGTAAAAAGTTCACTTATATAGTATTAAATGAACATTTGTGATTGTAAAATATTTTTCTTTAATGATACTAAGTCTATATATGTGTGAATGCAAATTAATACAAAAAGCATTAAACAAAGGTGAAGGTTCAAAATCTGAAGCATTAGAAGAAAATGTTGAAGGAAATTCAAAGAGTGGTACAATGTTCACATATTACAAATAAATGATCAAATTATTAAGTATAATGTTCATTTCTAGTTATATTAAATTTTTTTCATGTATTTTGTTTGCAGCATCTGATTCAAAAGTTGGTGATCCCAAGACACCAACTGAAAATAGGGAAGCTGCTGGAGATATTTCTACAATCTTGAAATCTCCAGCATGTTCAAGTATGGAAGATATCCTTGATAAATCAAACAAGAAAGGAGGAAGCATGGGGTAAACATGGAAGACCTATCTTGTTAGAAAATATATAATTTTGAATGGACATGTAGAATAAATTTGGTTATAACGTGTAATTATTTTGGACAGTTTTTGTTTATGAAGTTAGTAATGGATATGTACTATAAAATCAGAAGGGAATATTTTGCTTTAGGGTAGGAATGCACAATTTAAGATATGTAAATTATGTATTTTAATTTAAATGTCTTAGTAATATTTTAAGTGTTTATTGTTCAAAAAAGGAGAATAATGTTTTTTTTATATTAATTACTCTTCATTACTAACCATGATTAATATTTCAGAGAAGACAAGAAGAAACAGATATATGCTTCAAATGTGAAGGAAAGGTAAATGATTATTCCACATATACATGTTCTTTTTCATTAAACTGAATAATCATTTATACTATATTTATATTCAGTGAGACAAAAAAGGATTCAAAAGAAATTGAAACAGAGAAGATTCAAATTTCCAAAAACACAACAGGACAAAGATAAATGGTCTTTACATGTGTATAGATTTATAATGTTCATTATCAATATACTAAATGATCATTCATAATTCAATATTTATTCAGTGACAGAGAGAAGACTTTGGAAAGAAAAAAATCAAGAGAAGCTGAGAAGGCAAAAACTGAGATTGCAAAGGAAAAAGAGATAAGGTATTACTATTTGTTCTTTATATAAATTATTTGTTCATTATTAAAAAAATTCATATTTGTATTAATATATGGTCACATTAACTAGGCCACAAAGGGAAATCCCAAATGTTCCTCTTGCTTTCCGATCTCCATACATGGTCAAGTACAAGGATTTGTTCAAAGATGAAGACACAATGAACAAACTTGTAACAGACTATGCTTATAGTGGAAAAGATCAAAGGTATACATCACTTACTTCATTAAAACTTTAACATTATGTTTGTTGTAAACTCATAAAATTTAAAAAATTGATATTTTGCAGTGAGCTACTATACTATGATGGAGTGAATTCGATCAATAGGGAAGAGATGAAAACTCTTGAAGGGGATACATTAGTAGTTAACAATGTGATCGATTCATGGGCAGTACTTCTGAATCAAAAAAGGTCAAAGAACAAGTTATACTTTTCAACATTTCCACATGTAAGTCTTTATTGAAATTACACATGTATACATTGGTGTACTAAAATGATCAATTCACTTATACTAGATGATCATTATGAATATTAAAATGATCCTTGTGCATTATTTGCAGCAAATTATGTATGCAAATACAGTGTGTCCTGAAGGATCATCAATGGAGCTTAGAATTGCATACTTCAAAGAAAGAATAAAAAATGAATTGAGGTTATACAAAATCAAGAGTGCAGTTGGATATCAACAGGTATTAATGAACAATATGGAATTATAATATGTTCATTTACATTAATGTGTATATATAATAATATTGTGTACTATGTACAGATTTTTTTTTCCAGTGGCCATATATGCACATTTCTATCTTCTATGCATTGATCATATCAATGAGAAAATGCATATAATTGACAACAGAAAACTGCCAAAACATTAAACAATTGCAACAAAGTATGAAAACCAACCCCAATTGGTGGTAAGTATATTGTTTAATAGATATATAAATGATCAATTTGTTTATACAAAATGATCAATATTGAAAATTAAAATGATCAATATTAATATGATCCTTTGAATTTTTTTTTCTGTATATGTTGCAGTTAAAAGGATATGCAGAATATTTGAAAGGGTTGGGGTATGAAGATGCAGATTCTATTGAGAAATATAAGGTGGTTTTGCAAAAAATGAAGTGGAGGAGCAACGAAGATTACACCAACTGTGGAGTTTACATTATGAAACATATGGAAACTTTCACTGCAGATCCCAATGAAGAATGGGTTTGTGACCTAAAACCAAACAATGTAAGTAAATTTCAACAAAACAAAAAAATATACTTCATGATCACTTTATAATACATAATGATCATTTATATCCCATTTGTTTAGGGTAAAATTACCCATGACAAATGAACCAATCCGGACCTGCCACGTGTCCACCACGTGGGCCAATCAGCGTCCGCCACTTGTCACCCTAAGAGGTCCAACATGGACTAATCAGGTCACATCATGTGGCCCATTATCCGCCAACCTGGAAAACGGCCATCGCAGGCCCAATTCCCGAGGCAAGCCCAATCAGTCCTAGGTTTTCCCAGAAAACCTAGTATTAGGCACGTACTTCGAGGCTATATAAACATGTCATTAGCCTCCATAAACAAGGGAATCATCTCACCAAAAGAAGTCTAAACACATTGATCACTCCTCCCCTAGAGGAACCAGATCTCCCACCTTTACTTTCCGCATTTATTACTCCTCAAACAAGTACTAACTTGACCGTTGGAGGCGGAGCTCCCACCACAAGGAGTCTCCGTTGTTTTGCAGGTACAGGCGCAAGGATACCAGTCCCGGAATTGTAACTCTCCCGCAGGACATCAAAAAACCCCGAAACATTTTGGCGCCGTCTGTGGGGAGAGTACTTTTGAGATGGTATCACAGTCTGTACCGATTCTAAGTGAGAAGCGTCCCATGGACGACCCCCTGGTCCAGTCAGACCAGGATACCGACGAAGAATATGAAGTCGAGACTCACACGGCCTCTGACGGGTTCCTCAGAGCTCGACGCACCCGTCCCATCGAAAAGAAGGAACGGGGAGACTGCCTGGATGAATCTAGTAAACCAGTCGGCCCGCCGCCTAATCATCAACAGGCGGCCGAGGGATTTGCCCCTATCACCAGGAATGAACTCATGACCCTCATGAGTAGTTTCAAGGGGGAGATCCAAGACTTGATCAACCAAAGGGCGTTTGTTCCTGCAAAGGAACAGTCGGCCAAATCAAACCACTCCCAGTTGAAGTTACATGCGCCTAGCATGACACTCACTGGGTACAACCGGCAAAATACCTGCTTCTCTGCATTCGGCCAAGCAGTCAAGTATTGCAAGCGTCGGATGACCGACTGTCCAGAATTGGTGTTGCCAAATCATTATTATGATTTTGATATATATATATATATATATATATATATATATATATATATATATATATATATATATATATATATATATATATATATGAATGGCACGTATATGTTGCTGGAAAACATTGCATCAATTTGCATGCACACTTATACACGTGCAATATACATACAAATGACATGCATATCACTTGCATAAGCTTGTATGAGTCGTCCCCCACTTTTTTTTTTTTTTTAAAAAAAAGGGGGGGGGGTTTAATATGCCGAATGGCTCGGAGTTCCGAGCATTATTGACAAAGCATTATTTGCTTTGCATGAACATGCCATGTACACTAATTTGTTAATGACCTGGCAACACATGGCTACTTCCATACCAAGTTATTGACAACTAGCTTAAAGCATAAAATGGCCAGCTGGAGTATGACTATTTTTGTGAGTTATTCTTTACAGGGCACTACTTACATTCATAAGCATAAGGCGCTAAGCATTTGGCTCCTCGCTGTTGAAATCTTGCAAACAAGGTCTTAATGGCTCCTACTTCAAAACAAACAAGGTTTATCAAGAGAAGCAACCGTCCTTTTATGAACCACTTTACCTAAGTATACATTATACAATATAGTATATACCATACAAATATCAAGCGGTATATAATACAAAGATACCATCCATGCTTGAAGCGGTTGTTAAGAAGCTGAGCATTGGAGCCCTTGCTAGAGTAGGCGACACCTAAGTTTTCCCTCAAGAAAGCAAACGGCAGCCGGCCTAGTACCAGCCACGAAGCCGGCACAAGCATTTTAAAAATAGGCAACCAAATGCCGAGTTCGAGGCAATAAATTTTCAACTCCATGAAAACAGAGCACTCTTCGAATTTTGTTAAATAAAGCATAACAAGCAAGTCAGCCGGCCATCTCTACGCAACATTAGTTAGCTCTTGATAAAACATCCGGCACTCTCAGCATTTGAGAGCAGGCGGCATTATAGAGTTAGTCGGCATTCGGTCAGCCAAACAGCCGGTGCTCGTCGAGGGTAGCCTTGAAAACCCGGCTATATGTATTTAAAGCAAGAACGCCGTGAGTAATTACACAATCACAAGTGCTCCTCAAGATTACAGCCGGCCATACCCAAAAAACCATTGTGCTCGGTTTACTTGAGGTTCAAAAACTGCCCCGGCATGCGAGCATCTATGATCTTTGCTATCGTGATAAGACCAGCCGGCTCTATATGATGTTTTATCATGGTACAGTCGCATGGTTTTGGCTCAAAATTATGGTACCAAGTATACTTGATGCAAATGAGTGTAGAAGAAACCGAGCCACTGTCCACTTGAGTGTAGAAGCGACTTAGCGTTCAAGCTTGATCATGCGGCACCTAGTGTCCAAGCAAAAGGAAATACCGCCTCTGACCACGCTAAGGTAAAGTAGGCGGCAACCAAGTAATCAAGAAGCTATGGGTGCTATGCTCTCCTTTGATATCAGTGACACTGGGTACAAATCAGAGCAAATCATTAAAACAGCCGGCTTAGTATCAAATGACAATCAACGAGACCAGCCGGCTATTTTCAGCTAGGCGCCTAATCTTGGATCGTTGAACCATTGAAATCGTTCACAATACAAATCCACCTAGCAGCCGACAGTATCAAGTGGGAACAGCCGGTCTTATCTTGCGGCGGGCTCCATGTGCAAAGCTCAAACCCCAACAGCAAGCAACTCTAAGAGCCGAGTCGAATAAGTTCGTGTGAATGTACAAAGCAGGCGGCTAGGCGGCTGTATGTATGGGAAGCAAGGGCGTGAGTGTGTTATGCATGGCTGAATAAGCAAGAATAGGCGCCACACATGGCCATCACAAGCCCGGCTACTCGGCAATTAAAACAGCCAGCACTTGTTGAATGACCATCTGCTAACGTTCTTGCCAATTATTAGCAGCTGGAATTGGCACAAGAGCATTCGGTCTGCCATCTCTAAAACAATAAACCGGCATCGAAGTATCGTAGCTCAAGCTAGCAGGCGGCACTTGCAACCAAAGCAGCCAGCCATGTTAAAAGAGGCGGCACATGAAACGCAACATAACAGCCGGCGGTGAGAACATAGTCCAAAGGCCATCGTCTACAGTCGTTTCAACAGAGCCATATGGTGCATGCTTGCGTAGACAGGCTTGCGTATTGAGGCCTAGCTACAATGCCAAGTCGGTTGGGTGAGTGGGAGATGCTTGCCACCCATGGACGCCCAACACTTTCTTGTGAGAGTAATACCTATCCTTGATCAGCCAATTACAAAACATTCTTCCATCATGGATACGAGTACATGCTAAGTTCATGCTAAGCTATCCATTCGTCCAATTATCATGCTAAGTTCAATTATCATGCTAAGTCCAACTGGCATTATCAGCCGGCAATGAGTGGCCGGATGCCCAGCAAAATCAATCAATATCTAATAGCTCGAGCTTGAGTAGCCAGCAATTCGACATTGGGCATTGATGAAAACACCTTCCTCGGCCCTCGCCAATAAGCTAGCAGGCGGAAGCTCAACACAAGCCGACCTTTGGTGATAGCAGCCGGCATAGGTTTGTGATTGTAATCATAGCAAGCGTTATCATCATCATCATCATCTTGGTTTTTAAGGTGAATGTCTTGGATGCCTTGCCAAATTAAAGCAAGCGACATACCGAATAGGGGCTTGCTTTATCATTATGATAATCATTATTATGATTATTTAAAAAAAAAAAAAGAAAAAAAGAAAAAAAGAGAGGAAAATATATATATATATATATATATATATATATATATATATATATATATATATATATATATATATAAAGGGAGGGAGCCGCCTAACAACATCATTATTCTCATTCTCATGCATGAGAATAAAACAAAAGCATAAGATCCCCTCAAAAAATATTGCCTAAGTCTATCAAGCAAGAGAGGCGGCATGAATAGTAGTCGCCCCCCTATACGACGAAGTCTCGTAGCTATGAAAGCAGTCAACCCTCATTAATTTCACTAAGGGGCTAAAGACCGGCGGCAAATGTGTGGGCCGAGCAGCGAGGTCGCAAACCACATTAAAACAAGTTTATCACGACCACCTGTCCCCATTTGAAGAAAGTAGAGTCATCAATCCTCCATGGAAGGGAGCTAAGTGATCTATCTACTCTAACACTTGACATTATTTCAATACTTGATACTAATTCAGAGGGGCATGCCGCCTGTACCTTTACAGTCGGCTACTCTCCATTGAGTATTTCACTCTATGATCAGAGGGGCATGCCGCAATACCTCTATAGTCAGCTACTCTCTTCTTTGATTATTTTACTCTATCACCAGAGGGGCATGCCGTCTAGACATACAATCGGCTACTCTCCATAGAAGATGACCGACTGGTTCCAAAATAAACGGCCACCCTCCTATACTTAGCTAAAAAAATGATCAGGGTCTGGCCGACCCTGTGCCTAAACAGGCGGCTACCCTCCTCTTACTTAGCACCTACGTTCACCAAGAACTATCCAAGGCCACAAGCCAAATGATCAGTCCAGGCGCCAAGCCAACTGATCCAATCTTTAAACTAATACGCCCTGTCCCAACATCATAGCAGGCGTCCGACGGCATCCCTCCGGATGAAATTCGTCGCAGAGAGCAGCTCCCTTTTGGGTGGAACATTGCTCTATAAACTAATTACACGGCACCTATACGACTGTCCCTAAGGGAAACCACGTAGCCGTTTTTGAGACAAGGATAACTCTATCACTAACCAAACCAGTGGTAGCAGTTGACATCTGAGTCGGATGACCCCCTGTATTACTTGGGATAAATGCAGGGGGTACCTCTTGAGTTAATAGCCAACAAACATTGGCGAATCAAAAGGTTCGGCCGGCCTCCGCCGCCTGGTACCTTTACTACTCAAGCAGGAGTGACGGCGACTGAGTAACACCAAAGTCAACTCATAGGCACTCCCTCAAACTTGGTATGGAACCTAAAAGGTTTGAGTAGACCGCCTGTTTTTTGGCAAACAGGGGCACTCAAACCCCTATTCCTACTAGGTAACCACTCCTTGGGTTAATAGCCAACAAACATTGGCGAATCAAGGGGATCAGCCGGCCTCCGCTGCCTGGTACCTCTACTACTCCAGCTAGAGTGTGACGGAGACTAAGTAACTCCTATGTTAACTTATAGCCACTCTCTCAAACTTAGTATGGAGCCTAAAAGGTATGAGTCGCCCACCTGTTTTTAGCAAACAGGGGCTCTCAACCACTACTCCTACTAGGTTAACAACCTTTGAGTTAATATCCAAGAAAAACTTGGCGAATCAAGGGGACTATCCGGCCCCTGCCGCCTGGTTTCCCTACCACTCAAACAAAATAGGCAGTGATTGACTAACCGCAAGGTTAACCAGTCGCCCTCCTTAGTACGGAACCTAAAAGGTATGAGGAGTCCGCCTGTTTTTTTGGTAAACAGAGGTACTCGACCACTATTCTTACTAGGTTGGCTATACTTAAAGCTGTCGTCTGTAACCCAACAGGCGTAGCTACTTTGGTTGGACGTCCTGTCTGACGCCTGCTTCTATGCAGCCACCAAAGCAGACGACCAGCCATCCCCCAACGAAATAAACTAAGTACCAAACTTAGTATATTAAATCAAAAGAGGCCAACGGCCGAATAATGCTAAACGCTTACCCCTTGTGCAATAGTTGACAGTCCACCTGATCAGGGGCTATCTGCATAGTAGGGCAAAGAATCGGCATCTGTCTAGTTCGGCGGCAATCATTATTATGATTGATTAACTTTGAAAATGTCATACCGCCCAAGGTATCAAAATTTTCTAAGTTAATCAAGTCCATCTCCCATTAGAACTAGACAAGATGCCGACCTAGCAAAGCTTCGAGGGTCTAACTTTCGAAAGAAGCAATCCCTCCTGGAAAGAGAAATAACTCCTTCCGAGGGGTAAATGTTTAGGGTAAAATTACCCATGACAAATGAACCAATCCGGACCTGCCACGTGTCCACCACGTGGGCCAATCAGCGTCCGCCACTTGTCACCCTAAGAGGTCCAACATGGACTAATCAGGTCACATCATGTGGCCCATTATCCGCCAACCTGGAAAACGGCCATCGCAGGCCCAATTCCCGAGGCAAGCCCAATCAGTCCTAGGTTTTCCCAGAAAACCTAGTATTAGGCACGTACTTCGAGGCTATATAAACATGTCATTAGCCTCCATAAACAAGGGAATCATCTCACCAAAAGAAGTCTAAACACATTGATCACTCCTCCCCTAGAGGAACCAGATCTCCCACCTTTACTTTCCGCATTTATTACTCCTCAAACAAGTACTAACTTGACCGTTGGAGGCGGAGCTCCCACCACAAGGAGTCTCCGTTGTTTTGCAGGTACAGGCGCAAGGATACCAGTCCCGGAATTGTAACTCTCCCGCAGGACATCAAAAAACCCCGAAACACCATTAATGTTCATGTTTATAATAAATTATTTTCTTGGAACAGGTGAACCAAATCAGAAAGCTTAGAGTACAATACACTGCTGAACTAATGCTGAATGAAGGAAACAGGCAGTCACAGAACAATAGAAGAGCAGCAAGAAGATTTGCACAAGCTTAATACAATATGTTCATATATAGACATATATATGATCATACTTGCTTTCAGTATTTGTATGGACATAAGTTTTTGTTGTTGTTCAAGTAAAGACAAAATTTATTATCTTTTTAATATTTACAAATAGTAAAGTGTTACATTATAATTGCCAGTTTTAAATCATCTAACATAATTATTCCAATTTAATAATGGTTCTTACTATTTAAAATAGTATATGATCACTTCCAAAAGAAAAAATAATCATTTATAGAACATTTAAGAATAGTTTGAAAAAAAAAAGATTCAAATTACTTAATAAATCAAAATATAAAAAACTTAAAGCACTTGAATCTCTATAAAGTTGAGATAACTAAAAACGTTGATAGTTAAACACCAAAACATAATTGGATATTGATTTACTCTCTTATTTACCATTTGTAGCCAATCTCTTAGCCACACTAGTATCAAAAAACGCTAATAACCTATCATATTTGGTTGAAATCTGTGGAGAACCTCCTTGAGTACTTCTTGAAACAGTAGGAGATCCTTGAACATTCATTGAAACACTAGGAGAAAGTAGAACATTCCTTGAAACACTAGGAGAAACTTGCACATTCCTTGAATTTCCTTGAGTACTTCTTGGAACATTAGGAACATCATGCACATTTCTTGAAATACTAGAATCAACTTGAACATTCCGAAAACAGCCTTGAGTACTTCTTGGAACATTAGAAGGAGCTTGAACTTTCTTCGGAACACTAGAACGAACTTGAACATTTCTTGGAGCTTTTGGAGGATTTTGAACAATGCTAGAAACTTTAGAAGGAGCTTGAGCATTGATTTGAGCATGCACAACTGTGGGAAATTGTACATTTCTTGGTTTCTTTGGTGGCAATTGAGAACTTGTTGGAAAATTATCAACATCATGAGCAATTGCAGCTGTTTTACCCTAATGATCAAAATTAAAATAATTAATGATCAAATTCAAAATTCATAATGACCTTATACAAAATTAAAAGGTAGATGATTAATATTTCACCTTAACAATAGAAGATATGTCTGGATCAACAGTAACGTTTGATTGCATAGAGCTATATCCATATTCCTATAATAAAATGAAAATTATAAAAACATTATAATCACAACTTAAACTACTAAAATGAACAACTACAATTACATACATAATCATTTACATAATACCTGTTCAAAGTCATTTGAAACACTATCATCTGAAGGGATATCTTCTACAATGGCAGTCTTTTTATTACAAACCTTGAAAAAAAAATTAAAAGTAAAAATGTTTAATATTCTAAAGAGTTTGATAAAAACAGATAAAAAAAAAAGAAAATAAGTTTTTACCTGAGCACTTGGATCTTCAATCACAATTAACTCATTAGGATCAGCCAAAGAATTAGCATAAGATATAGGACACCCATTCTCGTCCAATTCCTAAGGCAAAACAAAAATGTTCAATTCTTGAACATAAATGATCAATAACAAAAACATAAATGTGCATTATTACCTGAACTGCTGCTTGACCTTTAGATCTTTTATAAGGAGTGTATACTGACTTTTTCTTCAACCACTGACCCCTGGCTTTGTTATAAGCCTTCTCTAAATTACTCTTAGGCCTATAATTCCTCTCTCCAATAGGTCTTGATTTTGCCGGATTCTTAACTTCATGATCAACAATTTCAATACCTTCAACCGGTTCATTAAAATCAATAGTACCAGTAACACTCTCAATATTTTCTTTTAAAAGATTGAAATAACATTCAACCTCTGCTCTAGCATTCAAAGAGTGTTGACAACTTGTTACCAACTTAACAAATTTCCTTAGTGTTTGTGTCCTCCAAACACTTGTAGATACTACATTGGTTTTCATTGTAGGTTCATCAAGGCCATGACTACACATAGCAGCCTTAGTCCACCTCTTACATATATAGTCATCTGGAATCTTATGAACACAATTCATATGATAAATTCGAAGAGCATGACAACAAAGCAAACCCATTTCACTAAACAACATGCATGTACAACATATTGTATGTGTTTCTTTATTAAAAACAACCTCGTGCTTGATCATATCTTTCCCAGGTCTCCACAAATGATAATAATATTCAGGAAAATTCACACCAACATCCTTATGATCACAAGCAGTACCCTTAATGAACTCTTCCTCAAAAAGCACATAAGCTTGAATAATATACAATGATCTAGCATGAACAAGAATCCCAATGTATGCAAAGGCCAAATGACGATTACCTCTGATTGTATTATAATCTCTCCCTTTTTCTTTGCTTCTCCACTCTTGAACCACATCGTGAAACACTTGATAGAAATCACATAGACCTTGTGTCTTGTTAAGCCTTTGAGAAACTGATTTGTTAGTTGTCTCACTACGTTGAGATGAAAGCACACCTCCTGACCAAAATTTCTTTGAAAAAGCTGGACACCACATCTCTTTGATTTTATACAAATCATTCAACCAATCAACATTTGCACAGTCATATTTCAACAACATTCTGTAAATGAAACATGATCATTAAGCATAACAGTTATGATCATTATAAATAAACATTTATAAAAAACTAAATGTTCATTTCTATAAAAATTATTTAAGAAGCTAAACAAGTATAAAGCAGAAGTACCTTTTCCAATAATGCTCAAATTCTGGTGGATTTTCACAATACTTCAGTAAATAACCAAACAAATCAGTGAAACCATCCAAAGCTCTCAACGCCCCAATGTGTTTCTTAGAATTTTGTTCAATATGCCACACACATAATCTATGATGAACACCTTTGGGGAAAATATTTCTTATCCCAGCTGCAATTGCTTGAGCTTGATCAGTCATAATAGTAATAGGGCTTCTCCTTCCCATAGAAGTTAGAAAAGTATCAAATAACCACTCAAATGATTCTGTTCTTTCATTAAGTATAAATCCCATGCCAAACATCACGTTATTTGCATGATGATTCATACCCACAAATGGAGCACAAATCATACCATATTTGTTAGTCCTATAAGTAGTATAAAAAACTAACAAATCACCAAAGTAATGATAATCTCTCATCATCCTTCCATCTCTCCAAAAGAAATTAACCAATGCACCATTTTCATCTTGTTCAAAATCATAATAGAAATTTGCTTCATCAATTTGTCTCTTAGCAAAAAATTTGATTAGTTGATTGCTGTCACCTCCCCCAAGTTTAGCTGTCTTTTCAACAGAAATAGCATTATAAGCATCAGGAGCTGTAAAACAAAGGTTAGGAGACCCTCCAACCTCCTTTTTCAAAGCTCTCAAAGAATCAGAAACTTTAACTCCACTCAATCTAAGTGTAGAAATGAAATTAATATGTTCCTTAGAAATATCCCTTTGAGACCTTATTAAATGTCTCTTGTCAACAGGAATCATTTCATGATTATGAACCATCTCATGTCTTGTACATGTATATACACCTGAACGGTCAATACTAAACTGCACAAAAGCTAAGCAACCAGTCCTTATGTTAAGTCTCTCATACAGCCTATTATTCCTGCACTTATCATCTTTAAAACCCTCATTTGTACAAACAAATATTTTCATAGAGAATGAACCATCTCTTCGCCTCTTACTTTTTCCAATTCTAATTCCAAAGCCCTTTCTAAATGCATATTCATTAAACATTTCATAAGCCACATCTTCAGAAGGAAATTGTTTCCCATAAAATTCAGAACTAGCTGCTTCCTCAAATAAAATAGCATTCTTTTTTTCCACTGCAATATTAAAATGTAACAAATGAACACAAATAATAGCAATAATGTACAATAACCACATGTAAACTGTTAATGATCATTTATCATTACATAAATGAACATATATCAAAATGATAATAAAACATATAAATGAACATTTATGATTACATAGATAAATGTAAATTACAGTAATTACACCTATGTTAACGTAAATGTACATATAATCTAACATACATGAGCATTAATTAAATGTCAAATTTTATAAAACTATAGACAATCATTAAAATGCAGAAAACTGGAAAAAACATCTATCGAATAACAACATTACAAAGAAAAACAATAAAATCACAACAATACATCACAAACTATAAATTAAAATAATCATAAATAAAAATGAAATCAAATATTATAATCGACCATAATTTTGATTTTAATTCATACAATAAGCAAAACTACAAAACCAAAAATTATAATTGAGCATTATATAAACTATAGTTCATACAATTATCAAATTATGAAATCAAAATCGAACTATTACATGCGAAAACAGAGCATAATCAAAATCGAATGATTGAGGGAAAAATTACTCACATTGTTGCGAAAACGAGTCGACTAAACCAACTCTAGCAGGAAAAATAGAATCACAATCACGATCAAAAGCAATTAAGCTAGAATCACAGTCACGATCAAACACAATTGAGCTAGAAATTTCCATGGAAGAAGAGAGAGAAAAATTGGGGGGAAAATAAAAAATGCAGGAGAGAGAAAATGAAATAAGTAAAAAAAGAGAGAAATAAAATAGAAATTAGGTTAAAAAAATCATTATATAGTTGCTTGAATAGAAAGTTAACAAAAATGAAAAAAGATGAAGAAAAAAAAATAGCAGAATGATTATTTATGGCTTGAATATAAAATGACGTAGTAGCATGGGGGTGTAGGAGAAGCTAGCTACCCTAGAGTCGAGGCAAAAATTTGTACAATTATATATGATGGGTTCTTACCTTGGGCTTTGGATGTGGCCAAGCAACTTGGGCTTATTGGGGTGGTGTTTTTTACTCAGTCTTGTGCAGTAAATAGTATTTACTATCGTGTTCAACGTGGCCTGATCCAGCTCCCGCTTTCGGACCCTGACTCGACTACCATCTCGGTTCCTAGGGCTCCGGAGCTCCACCCGTGGGAGGCTCCGTCGTTTGTGCAAAGTTATGGGTCGTACCCGTTTTGGTTTGATGTGGTTTTAGGACAATTCTCAAATATTGATCAAGTAGATTGGGTGTTGTGCAATATTTTCTATGAGATGGAGAAAGAGGTACGTAACCTATATACGAAGTGTTTGGTCCACACCTTTTTTATTGCACTTATTGATTGCACTTAGAGTACTTATTTGCTACTTATTTAATATCTAGTTAGAAACAAATTTTAGAATATACTTTGTTATAATACTATTTTCTACCGTCCTCAAAAATATGCTCTATTTTTTTATAAAAAAAATAAAATAATATATGTGGTTTTATTATCTTACTTTACTCAAAAAAAAAATGTGAATTTAGATATAATATCATTTTGTTGCAATTAATAAAAAGCGGAGGTAGTACTTTAAGTTTATTTTCGGTAACATAGATTATGCACTGCTGTATAAAAGACTTTCAACATATCCTATATTTGTACAATATTAAGGAAAGATATATTATCTAACACCCTCTATAGTCTAAACATGGCTTAATTAACTCCTCGTTGAAAACTTGAACATCGACCATTTATTCGACTTTCCTCTACCCAATTTAGATCATGAAACTATGCATGTTTATTTAATGTTTATATGGTTATATTAATCGTCATTTAACACATGCTTTAATTTGATTCATTTTTTAGGGAGTTGATTGGATGGCTAAGATGTGGAAAGTAGGAACAATAGGACCAACAGTTCCATCATATTACCTTGACAAAAGACTAGAACATGACGCAGATTACGGTCTTCAACTTCTGAAACCAAATACCCTATGCAAGAACTGGCTAGATTCGAAACCAAAAAACTCCGTCATCTACGTATCCTTTGGTAGCGCGGCAAAGTTATCCGAAGAACAATTCGAAGAATTAGCACAAGGTTTAAAAAACAGCCACCTAAATTTCTTGTGGGTGGTAAGAGAGGCAGAACAAGAAAAACTTCCTAAGGGTTTTATAGACGAAATTTCTAACCAAGGTCTTGTGGTGGGATGGGCCTCTCAGTTAGAGGCATTATCACACGAGGCGATAGGGTGTTTGGTGACACATTGTGGGTTTAACTCGATACTTGAAGCATTCTCCCTCGGAGTGCCTGTAGTGGGGATGCCTCAGTGGACGGACCAAGGGACTAACGCGAAGTTTGTAGAAGAGGTATGGAAAGTTGGTGTAAGAGTTAAGGTAGACGAGAATGGGATTGTGCAAAGAACGCAAATAGAGGAATGCATTAGGGATGTTATGGAAGGTGAGAAAAGTGAAGAGATTAAGAAGAATGTGGCTAAGTGGATGAAGTTGGCTAAAGTGGCAGTTGATGAAGGTGGAAGTTCGGATAAGAATATTGATGAGTTTGTGGCTTATTTAGCCGGATATTAGAAGCTGATATAATGAAATACTACACTTTTGTTCATTTGTGGCTTATCTAGCTTAATTTATAATTTCATGCTTCCTATGTTACAACTCATCTATTTATATAATTTTTACTACATTTTAACTCTCACAATTACACTCAATTTTCATGTTATCCATGAAGTACAATGATGAATAAGAAAATTATTATCTTAATCTTTTGACGTTAAGTTAATCCATCTCCATTGTACATATGTACTTTAAAGTTTTTTTTGGACTTTCTCATATTATTTTCATTGACCCAATTCCGACGGCTAAAAAGGTGGTACTATACTACTAAAATACACGTCTACGAGACTAAGACAAACACTAGTGTTACTAATCAAGTAAGGTGGTACTATAGTACTATACTACTAAAATACACATACGAGACTAAGACTAACACTAGTGTTACTAAGTAGTTACGTTTCCAAATTTTATACAACTAGTCAACTCTACAATAACATTTTATTTTTTATTGAGATAATATAATAATTCCAATATCTAATGCAATTGTTGATGTCATCGCCAATGTCACACATGGCATATGTTGAACTTAACCTCGGTGTTGCTATTTTAAAATATAATTTGTACAACTTCTCATTAATTTACTTTATCTACTTAGATATATATCGTTGTCTCGTTGAACATGGCTCTTCCTTCACCATTCATCACCCCACAAAGAAAGACTTCATCTATACTAAGCTTATAACCCCGAATTCATTCGTCACAGTAAGAAATCGATTTTCTTTGACAAACTATGTACCAAACATAGGTCACGAACAATTACTTCCATTCAAAACTCCGAAATCAGCCATGGAGGTTACTAAGCAGGCCCATAAAGCCCATGTTCTTGTGTTTCCATTTATAGGCCAAGGCCATGTTAACCCAATGCTCCAATTCTCGAAACGATTGGCTTTCAAAGGCATCAAGCCCACCTTAATCACAGCCCAATACATTTTCAAATCTATGCAAACCACCACCATTGAAACCCAATTTGGCCCACCGATTCAAATTCGATCCATATCCGATGGCTACGATGATGATAGTGGAGGTAGTCACCCGGAGTCTATTGCGGCCTACTTGGATAGTCTTCGGGTCAATGGTGCTAAATCTCTGGCCCAACTTATTATGAGGCTAAATGATGAAGGTGACCCGGTTCAAGCGATCATATATGATGGGTTCTTACCTTGGGCCTTGGATGTAGCTAGGCAATTTGGGCTTGTTGCTGGGCTGTTTTTCACACAGTCTTGTACAGTGAATAGCATTTACTATCATGTTCAACGTGGGCTGATCCAGCTCCCGCTTACAGGTCCTGACTTGATTAAAGTCTCGGTTCCTGGGGCTCCGGAGCTCCACCCGTTTGAGGCTCCGTCTTTCGTGCACACTTATGGGTCATACCCGTTTTGGTTTGATGTGATTTTGGGACAGTTCTCTAATATTGATCAAGCAGATTGGGTGTTGTGCAATATCTTCTATGACATGGAGAAAGAGGTAAATCCTATACTAATATTTGGTCACAAATGTGAACTCTTGTTACAATTGTTTTTGTAAATGTTACTTATAGGGTGGTTTTTTTGTTATAACATAAGGCGATATTACTCATATACACGCCTTTCTTTCACTCTAAACTCGTATTTGGATGTATTAGAATTGATCCTACCCTGTCTAAAATTAGCGTGCGTGTCCTTAAAGGCATTGGGATAACGTTGATGTTGATATTGATTGTGATTTAACTCTTATACTTTGTCTCGTTTCTTTAGGTCGTTGATTGGATGGCCAAGCTGTGGAAAGTAAGAACCATAGGACCAACAGTTCCGTCATATTACCTTGACAAAAGACTAGAAGATGACACAGACTATGGCCTTCATCTCCTCAAGCCAGATAAAACCTTATGCAAGAACTGGTTAGACTCCAAACCAAAAGACTCGGTTGTTTATGTGTCTTTCGGAAGTGCAGCTGAATTGTCTAATGAACAATTCCAAGAACTAGCACGGGGTCTAAAAAACAGCGACCTAAATTTCTTGTGGGTTGTAAGAGAATCAGAGCAAGCAAAACTTCCAAAAGGGATCATAGAAGAAAATTCTAAGCAGGGTCTTGTGGTGGGATGGGCCTCACAGCTGGAGGTATTAGCCCATGAGGCGACAGGCTGTTTTGTGACACACTGTGGGTTTAACTCGATCCTAGAAGCATTGTCCCTCGGCGTGCCAGTGGTGGGTGTCCCACAGTGGACGGACCAAGGGACTAATGCTAAGTTTGTGGAGGATATATGGGGAGTCGGCGTCAGAGCCAGGGTAGATGACAAGGGGATTGTGCAAAGAAAGCAATTAGAGGAATGCATTACGGAAGTCATGGAGGGTGAGAAAAGTGAAGAGATTAAGAAGAATTTGAGTAAGTGGAAGAAGTTGGCTAAAGAAGCAGTTGATGTAGGTGGAAGTTCTGACAAAAACATTGATGAATTTGTAGCTTATTTAGCAGCATGTTAGAAGTTGATAATATTTAAGAGGAAATTTATTGTATAAAATATGGTTCTTATGATTGATATGTTTATTTTTGTTTACTGTTACATATTTTTCCAATGCTGTGTTATTATATATGTTCTTCCTGAAATCTAATCATCATATTCTGCATCTGAATCTTATGTTAGTACGAAGTATGTTATAGTGTAGGAAAGAAAATCGACAGATCCCAAACAAACATGAAAATCATGTAAACAACATCCTCATCTTCAATTTAAATTTGTAATTACATGTAAATAATACTTCGTATTATAGTGTAATACATTGTAATTAACCCGCGTGGTATGACTAATATGATTTTACAACGAACTCACAAAAAAGATATAAACTAAGAAAATAAAAAGGGAGGAAATACAAAAGAAAAATGTAATAACAAAAATGAAATAGAATCATCGAAACTGTGACTGTCTTCCTCTGTTAGACCCTTTAGTAGTACATTCTTTAGGAAGCCCTTCATGAAATCTCATCTTATCATCGCAATAATTGTAAGTCATGTAATTCTGTTGCACCCGTCTCATTTTCCTTAAACTCTTTGAATCCAACTCCTCCCTTAACCAAGCATTCTCAAAACCCGACGATTCAGAATCCAAGTCATCTGACCCACACGACGAGGATCCATGAGACCAAACACAAGAACTTGCTTTAAAGTTCTTAAAAGAGGCAACAAATGGAGCTTTGGACCAATCAGTATGCACTTTTCCACCTTGAGTAGCCCAATCATCAGCATTCCACAAACTCGAGAATATTCTCATGGGCTGCTTATTTGGGAAAGGCACACCAAATTCTTCCATGTTGTTAAACTCCCTAATTGGCGTACCATCTACGAAGAACACAATTCTAGCAGGGTTCCACAGAATCGAGTAACTATGAAAATCCGCTGTAGGATCAAACCACAAGTAAAATTGTTGCTCGCGATTTCCTTTCCCTTGACAGTAAATATTGGTGTGTATAGTATAGGGCTGGCCACTCACATTACCTAAGAACTCGAAATCTATCTCATCATGGGTTGATCCATTCGAGGACATGTAAAAAGTAGTGACAGTACCAGCAGAGTTATTAGGAATGAGCTTAATCTTCATATCAATCTTTGCAAACAGAAATCTGTTCTTGGACTCAAATCCAGAACCCGAGTTTTTATCTAGGGAAAGAGTAAGAAGCGTACCATTATCATGAAAAGTTCCTCTACCATTTCCCCAAGCAATGTCAAAGTCTCGGGCTAAGCCTAGGATCTCTGCTTTCGGAGGAGAACGGAGTATTGTTTTTTCATTGGAGTGAGGAGGTGGTTGCTCCATCGTCGGAATCTCATTGAAATTCATGTCATTGGAATCGTATTGTTGAGGTAGAAGAATAGACGAAGGCAGGGTAGTTTTGATTTGTTCAGATGGAAGAGATTTATCTTGGAGTGATATTGAGGTCTGTAATGTGAAATACACACATAAGATCACGGCTAAGCCAATGAAAGTATGAACAGAGCATATTGATGGCAAAAACGACGGCGACGAAGATGACCGATGCATATGCATTGGAAAGTAGTTAAGGGAGCAAAACAGATCTAATCTGCTCCCTCTTTTCAAAGTCAATGATAAAAACAGAAATAATCTAACTTAATATTTCCTCTGTTCTCTTGTTCTCTGATGTAAGACTAACAAGATCAGCTGAACAACGTAAGAATTAAGGGAGATCTAAGAGAAGAAAGGCGAACAACGAAAGCGAATACGAGAATTAGAGAAGGGAATAGAGGAAAGAATGCAAGAGAGGAGGGTGTTTTGTTAAAGGCCAAGGGAGACAGATGTGGTTGTGGTAAGAGAATACTATTTTCCCATGAAATTCGTGGTGTTACTATATATAGTTTGAGAAAGAATCAGACCAAATGAAAATAAACAAAGAGTAAAGAAATTAAAAGTAATGTTTAGATTGTGACATTGAACGTCTTAGGTATACAGAGAAGCACCTTCACATCTAAAAGACGTGTGAGCGCCTATTTACATGATATGAAAACATGCAGTCTACTAGTTGATGGTAATGTTGCCTAAACAAAATTAAAAATAAAAAGTTGGTGGTACTTGATTGTCTGTTAATTACACGGTACAGTAGCATAATTGTGTTGGTTGGACCGTATGAACCGTGTTAAATTACGCTTCTGCGTTTCTTAAATACCGACAACATTTTCATTTTTACGACGCTTTTTTCTGACATAAATTTATATAAAATGTTGAGATATCTTGAAAGTATATTTTGAAACAAATCTAATACAGTATAATCTTACATGATTAAGTTTTCTCTTATAGTAGATAGTGTGAAATTGTGAATGGTGTAACAGTCAAAGTATTGCAGAATTAAGAAATGAAACAAATGAAGTAAAATACTTTGTATTTTTCACCAACAAAGGAAAAAACAAAAAGCATGTTACATGATTCAAAGAATATACGGAGTATTTATGAAGTCTGTAGCAGTTGAAACAAATTAATTTGACTAATAAAAAAAAAATGAAAGTTGACAAAATCAAAATCTCAACAAACAAGTAATGACTCTTGATTAATTGGTTATGGTTAATGGAGGAGCATTCAATAATATACGAGAATTGCATGTGATGAAATATGAATCTGATGATGTGGTCTACTTATTTTAATCTGCAACTTTAGAAACTACAAAAACAGTTTTTTTTTTTTTTTTTGGCCAAGAAAAAAATCTTCAAACTAAGAACAAAAGGTATTCAAAAACCAGAAGGCCCAAGTTCTAATAGTTAAAATATCCAGGCCATTAACAAGGCCATGAACTCAATGCTTCAATTCTCCAAAGCTTGGCATCTAAAACTGTTAACATCTTATTCACTACACACCACCAATATCCCCAACCCAAATGGTTCAGCTATCCAACTACGGTCCAATTCTGACAGTTACAATGACGGAAAAACCCGTGTTAAGTCCCATGTAGAGTCTTTCATGGCCTACTTGGATAGCCTCGAATCCACGGCCCAAAAACTTATTAAGAAGCTAACGAAAGGGTGGAGCTCTATCCGCAGGAGCTTCTGCCATTTATGCACAAAAACAGATCATATATACCTATTTTGACTTGATGTGGTTTTGGAGCAATTTCTAATGTCAAATGAAATGGGTGTTGTACTGCTGTGAAATTCTATGAGATGGAGACAGAGGTAACTAAACTTAACCTATGGATAGATTTGGAGTTTTGGTCTATAAACGTGACACAAATCATCAATGTAGTGCTAATACTTGAAAGCTACCATATTGTCCTGATACCGCGACCAACAGCTCATCATACTACCTTGACAGAAGACTAGAAGATGACAGAAACTAGAGTCTCCAGCTCTTCAAGTCAACACAGCCTTCTGCAAGAGCTGGCTGAATTCTAACCCAAGAGACTCCATCATCTACGAGTCACAAAAGCACAGGCCAATCATCCAAAGAACAATTTGGAGAATCAGCACAAGGTTTTAAAAACATACACCAAAAATTCTTGTGAGTGGTAAGAATATCATAACAGCCAAAACTTCAGACGGGGTTTGCAGATGAAACTTCTAGGCAAGGTGTTAGAATCCAACCTCTTTGTTATGTATTCTTCTTTATTTTCCTTGTATTTTCCTTATGTAATGTCTCTTTAGTCCTTCTTTTTATTTTTCTAGACCCTAGGGAGAATTATTGTGTTACTGTCATTTCAACGTTCACTTGTAATTCTCTACTAATGCAATATAAAGCTCTTTAGGGAGCGAATGGTTATTCAATCAAAGCTCTCTACCCCGTTGTTATTGCTTTAAGACTTGTGTGTTGTTTAAGCCTTTATAGATATTGTGCTTGCCTTGTTTTAAAGCATCCCCCACCAAACCAAGAGACCCTAGAGACGTCCTCATTTTCGTCGGTTCCGCTTGTGCCCGCTTCGAAGTATCGGCCGTCACAAGCCCCGACTCCGCACTCGTTGTTCTCGTGTGCCCTCTTGAGACACCGTAGGTCCGTGTTGCTGTGTGCTCACGAACCTCCTTGCTTTAGGCTTGCGCCCTTGTCGCCAAAAGACGAGAGCGCGCCGCACGATCTGGTGTTGAATCACTCGGACCGTGACAGTTTGGTATCAGAGCCAGGTTTGCCGTAGAGATGGCAGAAGAAGGAGAGATGCATGAATACACATTCGAGGAAAGGCTTGCTTGGCGTGAAGGCAAGTCCGAACAGTGGGCTATGCTTGAAGAAAGGCTGCCCAAACTCGAGGATATTGTAATAAAACAAGCCGACCAAATAGAGAGGCTTGCCGCTACTGTGGATGGGTTAACGGAGCAACTTAACTTCGTGCAAGGCGTTGCTGATGAAGCACAAGATAAATGTGCAACCTTAATGCGTGCCCAGAGAGGGCTCGGGGGAAGTGGAGGTGCCAAGATAAAACCTCCCAAGCCCCGGACCTTCAATGGCACGAGAGATTCAAAAGAAGTCGATAATTTCATTTTCGACATGGAGCAATACTTTCGGGTCTGTCAGTTGGAGAATGAGTTAAAAGTTGATACCGCCACTATGTATTTGGTGGATGATGCAAAGCTTTGGTGGCGCACCAAGTACGCCGACATCCAAGCTAAGAGGACGTCGGTGGATACTTGGGAGGATCTGAAGAAAGAGCTGATGGCCCAATTTTATCCCGAGAATACCGAGTTTGTTGCTCGCACCAAGCTCGTTGTTTTGCAGCATAAGGGTTCCATCCGGGATTATGTCAAAGAGTTTTCAGCGTGCATGTTGGAGATCCACAATATGTCCGAGGAAGATCGCCTATTCAACTTTGTGTGTGGTCTTAAGGAATGGGCCCAAAGAGAAATTTGGCGCCAAAAGATTGATACTTTATCGGGAGCCATCGCTGCAGCCGAAAGGTTGATGGACTACTCCTCAGAGAAAGTACAAGGTTTGAAGAAAGGGAATAGCGGGCCGACACCGAACCCTCCTAGGAACTCCGGACATGGCTCGCAAGTGAGCTCCAACAACTCGAATAATAGATACAATAGGAGTGGGGGAGAAGACTCTCGGAAGAGTGGAGCTTCTTCCTTCTCTAGTAGAGGAAGCACCCCTAGTTCATCTTCGGCAGCCATGCCATTGACGTGTATTCTTTGCCGAGGACCGCACAAGTGGTTTGAATGTCGACACAAGGGAGAAATTGACAATCTCTAAAAGAAACTTTCCTCCATGTCCTTAGAAAACCCCGAGGGTGAAGAAGCCGATGAGGTAGAACCTAGTGAAGGAGAACATTCCAGACTGGGGGCCATTCGCATGATGTGCGCTATGGGAAGAGAAGGCTTTGAGGGCCAACCCAAAAACTCTGGATTGATGTATGTGAATGTGTTCGTAAACGGAAAGGAAACTCGTGCCATGTTGGATACCGGTGCTACCCACAACTTCATTTCAGAAAAGGAGGCAAAAAGACTTGGGTTGAAGCTCCTACCAGAAGGAGGCAGTATGAAAGCGGTGAATTCAGTTGCCAAACCGATCCACGGCGTTGCCAAGAAAGTAACAATGAAGCTGGGAGATTGGAGCGGACAGGTGGACTTTACCGTTGCGCCAATGGACGACTTCAGCTTGGTGCTCGGCATGGACTTCTTACACTTTAGTAAGGCAGTCCCGATGCCGCATCTTAGATCTATTCTGGTGCCCAGGCAGCAACCATGTCTCCTCCGAACCTGCGATCCGGGAAAAGGGCCGAAAGGGCCCCTCCTTTCAGCAATGCAATTGGAGAAGGGGTTGAAGAGGAACGAGCCCACGTTCCTAGCAACACTTTCCACGAAGGAAGATGAAGCAAGTGGAGACTTTCTGCCTGCAGTTGCCGAGCTACTATCAGAGTTCCAGGATCTCCTCCCGAAAGACCTACCAAAAGTTCTCCCACCTAGAAGGACAATGGACCATGAGATTGAGTTGGTTCCAGGGGCGAAACCCCCAGCACGAAGCCCTTATCGCATGGCTCCCCCAGAATTGGCTGAACTCCGGAAACAATTGGAGGACTTGCTTGAGGCAGGCTTCATCCGCCCATCAAAGGCTCCTTATGGGGCTCCTGTGCTTTTTCAGAAAAAACAAGATGGAAGTCTTCGATTGTGTATCGACTACCGAGCATTAAATAAGGTTACGGTGCGCAATCACTACCCTATCCCTTTGGTGGCGGATTTGTTCGATCAGTTAGGGGATGCAGTGTACTTTACAAAGCTAGACTTGAAGTCTGGCTATCACCAAGTTCGTATCGCCGAAGGAGATGAACCAAAAACTGCTTGTGTGACGAGATACGGGGCATACGAATGGCTAGTCATGCCCTTCGGCTTGACGAATGCACCTGCTACGTTCTGTACTCGTTCTGTACTCTGATGAACCAAGTATTTCGAGAGTACTTAGACAAGTTTGTGGTCGTGTACCTCGATGACATCGTTGTCTACAGCAAGACTTTGGAGGAGCACCTCGAGCACCTAAGATTGGTCTTCGAGAAGCTGAGAGAACATCACCTTTTTGTGAAACGAGAAAAGTGTGCCTTTGCGCAGGAAGAAGTCGGATTTCTTGGACACTTTATGGGGAAGGGTCGATTGAGGATGGACCCAAATAAGATATGTGCTGTTCGCGATTGGCGGGATCCCAAGAACCCCTCTGAGCTGCGATCCTTTCTAGGACTGGCGAACTATTATAGAAGATTCATTAAGGGATACTCAGAGATCGCAAGTCCCTTCACCGACCTATTGAGGAAAGATTGTCGTTGGGAATGGTCAGGACCCCAGAAGGAAGCTTTCCAAAAGTTGAAAGAAGCAATGGTGAAGGAGCTTGTCCTTGCCCTTCCAGACATCACCAAACCATTCGTGGTCGAGACGGATGCTTCGGATTTTGCTTTAGGAGGAGTGCTCCTCCAAGAAGGACATCCTATTGCATTCGAAAGTAGGAAGCTGAATAATGCGGAGAGAAGGTATGCGGCACAAGAAAAGGAGCTACTAGCCATTGTGCACTGCCTAAGAGGATGGAGGCACTAC